GTCATTCCGAGTTCAGGCTAACTGTCCTTTTCCAAAGGGCAGCCCTGGGGAGGTACACACACACCCCCCTATCTTAAGCAGGACACAAAGACCACACACTGAACTAAGTACATTGCCAAAGGCTTTCTATGCAAAGCCTTCTGGTTTGTGTCTTCACCTATAACAACAACCTGGTGGGTCAGAATAAAAAAAAGAGAGGAAATGGATGAAGTGCCTATTTCTCTCCCCATTTTCAGAAAAGAAAACACTACAGAGAAAAGTATGACAGAAAAAAAGGTATATTTTGTACTCCAATACCTGCTTTGTATCAGTTTGTTCTTTAGTATAAAGCAAGTCAACAACTATTTTTCTTCTGAAAAATATTAATTCTACATTCTACCAACACAGAAAGATAGGAAAAGGAGAAAATACATAAATAGCACTAATTTATGAGCATATACAAGTGTAATGTAATGAACAGTACTATGGCAAAACTAAAAGCATTTTATTAAAGACTCTAGATACTGCTTATAAAAAGCCCATTATTCTTCCAGCAAATTAATACTCTCTTACTAACAATATCAGCAAATGAACTGTTTTAGTTAAATTAATATTCATGTTAACTGCTTGCAAAATCAACTAATTGAGTAGTCCTAAGTTACAATATTAAAAGCATATGCAAACAGACTCTGTGATCAATTTTAAGACTAGCCAAGTAAATCAGATGGGATTTGTTGTATGAACACGACTGGGTCTTCAAATCGACAGATTGCGTACAGTCAGAAAATAATCCCAACAAAAAAATTAAGTAATGCAGGTACATTGTTAATACAAACCAAAACAGCTCTTTAGTAGGGCTGATGAGTTTAAATTTAAAGACAAAAAAGTTTGCAATGAAGAGAATCTCTTCATCCCTTTACCTCCCCATTCGCTGTGTCCAAAATTACAGTTTCAGCATGGCTTAGAATTCAGTAACCATCTTTTATAATTTAAAGAAATTTCCTCTCCCTCAGTTAATAAATCTTCACAGAAATGTTAAGGCTGCTTTTGCTTCTTCATTTAGTCAACATCATCAAACTTACATTAAAAAAAATCCCTAATGGTGGTAACAAGAAAAGCTAAAGACCATAACATAGTTTCTTTGGGCTCTGAAATAACAGTAGTATTTGTTTCTTAATAATCTCATTATTATAATTTCCTTTCCTAAGACATTTATCATAACAGTACTGGGGCATCTTACAAAAGCTATTTTCCTGTTTCTTAAATTAAATCATATTTGGGACCTAAATTAATAATAGGTGGTTGAAACTATGCCAGGGAAAAAGGAAAGCCAGAAGCTTTTCTCTTAACAGCTCCCAGCAGAAGTGGAGGAAGGGGCAGCACATGCAGCCTAAGAGCATAACGTGGTACACGCTGCTCATTCCTTATTCTGAAAAAGTAAATGGAACAACAAAACTAAGAACATTGAAGTTTCAAGTCAAATACTCCAAAGGCACTGCCAGAATTCAGATTGCTGCTAGAAGCATAGTTCCATCACCCAGTGTGTATTCATCATGATCTGGGAATACAGAAGCAAAGAGATGGCAAATACTAAGAGTGGATGCTGAGGAAGACGCAGAGGTAGGTTACATATAGCGAGCCTTCTCTGGAGTCACTGAGCATAGCCCCACACTCTGCTTCAAGGTTTGGAGGGTGCTTGAATACACTGAGCAGACACATCCCTGCTTTCATCTGGTGTCTCACAATCATCTGACTGATCACAGTCCACCTGCCTTTATCCTGGATCTTCCTTAACTTTGTCTGCTTAACTCGTGAAAGAAGTAAAGCCTGTGACTGACATCAGCCATGCCCATCCCAACCTCCTTTTCCAAGTCTCTCCTTCCAGCCAGGTCCTAGTTCTCACTTCCCCAGTATAGCTTCTGTATGTTTTCCCCTCTACTTCATGTTTAATCTTCCCTTTCAGGAAATTAAATCTACCCCCCGTATTCTCATACTTACAGCTAAGATGCTTTCATTGTGGAGAGTACCAAAAGAATGGGAGCACCTGTTACTGGATTTTCCTGCTCTGCCCAATTGGGTAAATCTTAGTAAGAACAGCCAAAGATGTCATCACAGCATGCACACCTTAAACCTCTAAGCATCACATCTCCAACGAACAGCAGCACTAGAATTTTTTGGATAAAAGGCTACAAGAGTTTTATATAGGCAAAATAAAGATTTGATCCTCTTTTGGGTTTGGAACTGGTTGAAACACTTTAGATCATGTTCCTTTTGAAAGAAGTTCAAACAGGCTTCAAACAGGAAGGCCCTATAAGAAGCTAAGCCAACTAAGGCTGGCTTTCATAAGCCAACCAAGCTCCATCAAAATACCTACCTCTGGCCAAATTATAAGAGAATGACAGATGTAACTGAGTCAGGGAAAAGGCCAGACAACTACTTTAAATCCCTAATTTTCCTTAGTTCTCTGATAACAAATATTGGGCAACCCTGACAACAAGCTGGCCTATTTATGATTTAGAGCGAGGTGTCCCTGCCCATGGCAGGGGGGTTGGAACTTGATGATCTTAAGGTCCTTTCCAACCCTAACTATTCTATGATTCTATGATTCACAGTGTGCTCATCAGGGTTGTCCTCCATTAGCTGCACACCCTAGTAAGAACTACTCAAATGCAATGGAAGGATAGAACAGACTTTCAAATTTGCATGAAATTTCAGCTGTTCTATATCCAGACAGCACTGATCGATCCCAAAGCAAATGCAAGCTTAGGCTGCAGACACTGTTTTATCAATATTATTAAGTTATTACAGTGAGATCACTGCATTCCACCAATCCCCTTAGCCCCCGGTGCTTTTGTCATAGTCCATCAGCACTTAATTCAAATAGATGGGTCCACATAGCTTCTCAAAAAAAGAAAAAACAAGAAAACAAAAAAACCCACCAAACACAACAAAATGAAGGAAAATCTGTCTTTAAAGCAGGGAATTCAAGCACATGAAGTGTACCTTCACTGCAAGATACTCAATAAGAAGAAACTCAAACAACAAAACGCATGTTGCTGAGGAAAAAAAACAAAACAACTCTCGTCCCCTGTGCTATTCAATTTAAACCTTCGCCAAGCTGAAACTGCACTTCACCAGATAGCTGCTGTTATATCAGAAGCACCAATTTATTATTGTAGGATAATTTTAAACACTGGTCTAGATAAAGTAATTTTACAGAGAATAAATTAGCTTTGGGAAACCGGGGGGGGGGGGAGGGGGGAGAGGAGGGGAAAGTAAATAAAATTGATTTTACCAGACTAGGTTTTTTCTTGTGTTATTATATTCCTGCTATCTTATTTGCAAGTGAACTCTGCATTTCAGAAGAACGTGAAGAATTTCAAGTTGGCTGTACTTGAAAATAACCAGAATCTGTATTCAACTTCGGTAAGTCATTTTTACCATTTCTTGTCTCTGCAACAAGTTTTAAGATAAAAAATTAACTGATCGGAGGTCCATTGAGGATCTTGAATCATCCATGTATGATAGGCAAGTATTGCAGTAGTTAAAATTATATTGTTTAAAATTATAACCTTGTTTTATATTTCTAGGTTTGCAGTTTTATGAAGTGTAAAATTGCATGCATTAACCTTCTGCCATGTCTACGAGACTTCTGAAAAAGTACTCATGCTTATGCAATCTATTTCTAGTAAAGATGGAAAAAAAGGGGGGGGGGGGCAAAAAAAACAAACCATGCAAAAAAAACAAGCAAGCATGCCAACTTCCCAGTAGCCAAATAAACCTCAGATGAATTACTGAAAGCTTTATGTGCATATATTAAAAAATATTAATCTGGAACATACATCCCACCCACATTCATGAGCCGACTGAATGCACAAGATGTAATACATGACAAAATACTGGCTTTAGTGAAATCAGTGTAAAAGAGCTGTAGCCACATTTAATGGCTCTTAAATACATCAGATTTAGTATTTTCCAGGAATTGTTCCACGGCTGGCTAAGCTTGTTGATGTGTATATTATTTAGTACAAACAGATCAAATTCTTTCTATCAATGTAAGTGCCGTTGCGCTACAAGAGATCTTCTGGGTCATCAAGGGCGAGACAAAGTATCACTGAATTCCTTTCATAAGCCAACCAAGCTCCATCATAAAAGCTGTTTCTGTGTTAAGTTTTCACATGTTGACTGTGAAATATGATTGCTCCAAATTCTCAAGACCCCACCTCTAACTTCATGGTTATCTCCATATATATTTCTGTTTTAAGCCAGGCCTATACCTTGAACAGCTCCTTTCTGTCTCAGCGTTGTCTCTCCCCCTATTCACCTTACCATGATCTCAACTTAAGTCCATATGGCCAGTCACTATTCATAAGCATACATACAAACACACTTAAGTGTCTTCCCATAAAATAGCTTCAGCAGGCTTTCTCCATCTTATGTGCCGTTCTTCACAACTGTTCTCACTAACTTCATTTTTTACTTGAACAAGGAATTACTCAGGACTGAAAATGTTATTAACACTAGGTTTCATCTATGCTTTTTTAAATGGCATTAGTATCCTCCCTACTTGAAATAAAATTACTGATGAACCACATACTATTTGCAGCACTGCCTCTTCCATGTCCCACTGTAGTCAACCATTAGCCTTATGAGGAATTAAACAAGGAAGCACCAACATCAAAGATGTAGAAGAAAAGTGAACAGGAGGATTTTGCAAAGGTTTATCACACCAAACTGAGGGAAAATTGCAGTTCCTGCTACACTGACTTTGCATGTAATATTCCAGGACTGGAACTAAGTGTATGCATCTTAATAAAATGGAAGTCACAGCCTGTAAGAAACTATACTTGCCTAACTTTATATAAAAAAACCCATCAAACAAAAACTACACCAAAAAAGTCTGAACTGGCTAAATTCCCTAGTATATGTATACAGTTTATATGTTTTCATATAAGTTATCTTTCTGTGGACATGGAGAACACTGGAATACCATGCAAGTTTTAGAACTCAATCACAACAACTTAACAGGATTAAGTAAATTAATAAATAAATCTATAACCATATTTTAATGCACAAATTACTTATTGTCAGTTTTAGTTGACAAATACCTATTTCATAGCAAAACAACATCACAGGAACAGCTGGATGGCAGTTTTAAGCTCAAATGAACTAGCATCACAGGCTGACAAGTCATCTCTTTGATTGCTTTTGAATGGCAGCACATGCAGATTTATTCTCTGCCATAAATTAGAACAATTATTTCTCTGCAGTTCACTTTTTATTTCAGACAGTGAGCCCCCGCACATATTTTTAAAGGATATCTTCCCTTTCCTTGATGATAAGTTCATTCTGCTCCTCTAGCTGTCTGATCTTCTTCTCGAATGACTCCTGTTCAGCTTTCAGCCGTTCTTCTGTCACCTCCTTTTCTTCACTTACCCTGAAAAGAATATGAGAAAAATAAAATATACGCCCATAACCACAGTGCCTGACTTACAACTCCTCTGCTTCCCAGGTAAATGGATGTCACCCTCTCCACCTTTAAACAGGTGAGTTCCTCATAATGTTTATTTTATTGTATTACATTGGAAGATGCATATGACTTTATGCAATACATTATTTTTCTGAAATCAGTGGTCTCACTAGAGTACATGCACATTAATGGGCTCCATGGAACAGCAAAGTAAGGACCTAAACCCACAACAAGATTTGTGCAATTTGGTTCCCTGCAGCATAATGAAGAATCACTGGGATCTTTGCAAGCCTAGGGCACGTAGACAAGCAACCCAAATGGGAGAGTTTAGCTACCAAGACAGGAAGAAAACTGGAGCACTCTTCCATTTCCTAGTGCATAAACTAATTCTTTCATATTTACCGGTCAAATATAAGTCCAGGAAAAGAATAATTATTTTTTTTAGATTTCTACAAAAGAAAAAGTCTGTCCTCTTCCAAGAATTTTTAAATATCAAGCTGCAGGAGTAAATTTTCCCTTATCTCTGGGCCATGGCACCCTGTATCTTGCTGCTCAGTGTAAATAATTGGATCAAGATTAAAAGATGACAGTGTGAGAAAGGTTTACAATGATCATTTATTCTGCACCTCAACAGCAGGCTGCAAAAATAATTGTTCTGGTACCACGTAGGCAAGACGACCATTATGCACAAATGATCCTGTAACTATGCTAAAAAACAAGGCTTAGAAATCATGGTTCTATAAAACCTCTACAAAAATATTAAGTAATGAGCTTAGACTAATAAATATTATTGCTCTGCACTCAGGCAATTTCTGTTGCTGAAGGCTCTTAAAGTTCAGTCTCTTATGATGAAACAGCTGCTACAACACAGGTGACATGAGACCAAACTAGTACAACTCTTGGCAAACTTCAACTTTAACTTCTTTTAAGTGGAATAATCCTTTAGGTAGAGTAAGGGAGGGAAAGTATAATACATATCTATATAATACATACATACTAAGCCTTCTACTCACTCATTATACTCATTAACATTCTTAACAGAGAATTTCCATTCAAAGTCTGAGCCATCCATTTGACATCATCACATTTCCCTTAGGAGGACACAGATTTGTTTTGATAACCCAGTAGAAAAGCCATAAATACCACAATTGGGTCACCCCTCTGGGGGTGAACTATAAACAGGCAATATTCCCCAACTGTAAGATCAGCTCACAGCCCTTCCCACAACAGTTGAAGCAGATTACATGAAGTTGGAAATAATAATAGCAAAACTCACACCTTTTCTCTACAACCCTGGAGGCAGAAAAGTAACATAAAGCATACAACCAAATTCTGTCAATTAGGACAGTTGGAAAGTTTGGAACAAACTATTAATTGGAAAGTTTCTAAATTACATAAAAAGAGACACGGATTTAGCATAAAAACATTACACTGTTCATGTGCCCATGGTCTCATTTACAATCCTGTCCCTGGAAGTATTCATCAACTCATTCTTAGGCCCCTTTCCCTTCACTCAAAGGTTGTCAAAAGTGGTGTGGACACATCAGAAAAACAACAAAAAGGGAACCAGCTGTATTAACTCTGGATCCATCCTAACACCTACATACTCCTTAGTTAAGCAGGCAACAAACTTCTGAAGACTATCTATTATCCATCTGTGCTCCCTGATGCATTTACAACAATACATATGCCACAGGCTGCAGGCTCAGGCTTTTGCATCTAACCACAACCAGTTTGATTTCTCTGAATCTACAGCAATCATATAAGTGACTATAGCATATATTACTTTCCTTCATGTAACCAGTGAAAGATGAAAGAATGTCTTCTGTTTCTTAGGGTAAAAAAAAAAAATAAATTAAGAAAAAAGTAGAGAACAGAGAATAAACCACATCATTTGAAAAAGACAATGAAGACAGCAATGACCATGTAAGATGAGACAGGAAGGAAACAAGAACAGTGGAAAATAAAATCAGAAGGGAAAGGCAGAACAAGCACCATCTCCAGGACACTATATAAGGAAGGAAACTTGCTTCCTAACTGCTGGAGTGATGCTGCACTATAAAAAGGGACAACTGAAACACCAGGCACCAAAGAATATTAAAATCCAACAACAGTATAAGAAAATCACAGACTAGTTTGAATGTGAAGGGATCTTAAAGCTCATATAGTTCCAATACCCCTGCCATGGGCAGCGACACCCTCCACTAGACCAGTTTGCTCAAAGCCCTATCTAACCTGGCCTAAAATAAGGTAAGAAAGAACAGAGCACTAGCGAAATTAGACTAAACCTAGCAGATTTTACCCATGTCCACATTCTCCGATTTGCGCCTTGAATCAGTCTGCATCACATGCACGTGCTGTGTTTGTATTTAACACAGATCACAGCAAGCTGCCATACTCCCAGACACATGAATATATTGTGCCACATATCTTATGCAGTAAATGACTGAGAACAGTAAGTGATCTTAGAAGAAATGTGGCAGTATGTGTTTATGTATCACAAAGCAGGAGACGGCCCATAAAGGGCAGGCAAGATACAGAAGACAGTTACTCACAGGAGGTGGCAAAAGGAAGTTAGAGAAAAGGAATACAAGAATGTCATCAGATTATGTTGGATTTGTGACACATCCTATACATAGATCAGTGAGATTTTTTTATATACTTATTTCTTTGCCTTCTGGCAGAAAAAAAAAAAAAAGAAGATTTTTAGCAGAATTAGGAAAAACGTCACTGATGCCAAAAAGAAACATTACAAGGCTCCTTAGAAGGATATTTTTACCTGCTTTTCATCTGCCGGTGGTCAGAAAAGAGCAGTGAAAGAATAAAGACATTACAATTACAAAGGGCACAACTGCTCCCCTGGGCAACACACTGATGTCCAGCTCCATTATCGTTGTTTGCAGGAACAAATAGAGGACCAATAGCAGAAGCAAAGATGACAAATCAGTAGAATTATTCCAGCTGTTCAGAATTATTCTAGCACCATTTTCTTACTTGCAATTTACATGCACCTATCTTACTTACACACCAACTTTGTTTGAGATTTGGTCTAAATTCAACACTTCAAAGCTTATGTAATTCTAGACATCCAAATAAAGATATTATTTTTATTTTACAGAAAAAAACCTCCTCTGTAGGAAATAAAAAATCATAATGCAGAGATATTGACAAAAAAAAGAATCCTCCTAGGGCATCAGCTTTAGGCTTCAAATTAATCCTAACTCACCAATTCCAGCTATTACAGTGTTCTCCCAAGTCCACCCCTGATACTAATAGTTGTTCTGTGTTATCTGAAGAAGGAATTGATCAACAAGCTTGCTGATGACACTGATTCATTCCACTGAGTAACACAGGATTGATGCTCTCAAGGTGGAATTCTTCAAGTACTGCACAGGTCAACAGCACTTCAAGTTTCACTTGTCTATTGAATAACTGGCATGCACAAGAAAGAGACGTAACACATTAACACTACGCTAGGGACAAAACTCAAGAGAACTCTTCCTGACTGAAGGCTCTTACAGTCTTTACAAAAGAAAAGAGCTGAAAAGGCAGATTAAAAATAGTGTTTCCTATTTTTTAAAAGTGCTAGAAAAAAATGAGCTTTTACAAAGGGAAGTCTAAATGCATTAAGAGCTGCAACCGAGCAAATTAAGCGAGAAGACAACATAAACAAAAAGCAGACACACTACACTGGGAAGTTCACTGATAGTCCTAGAGTTGTTGGGAACACTTATTTTTTAGGGAATATTCACCTGGTATTAGTCTGCCAACTAACTAGTAAAGATGGAAAAATTTTGGTGAACATTCTCAAAAATCAGAAATTTTAAATTCCAAGCAAAGAATGGCAACTGGAATAGGCATGGCCACAGGGGAAGGAAAAACGGAGCAAGGACTAAGATAAGAGCATCATCCAAAGTCCAGCACACACAGAAATCATGGAATGCAATCAGGTATTCCAAGGGAAAGATGCATTGCAGAAAGATGAAACAAGAAGTTTCATGCCAGAGTTGATCACAACATGCCTCTGGCAGAAGTGAGCACCAAGTGACTTTTAATACAAGCACTGCAGGAAGAAATAATGGCAGCAGTTTTGTCTAAGGACACTCCACAAATCTGATATATTTCACCCAAGTATCATGGGCACTTTGTGTAAATTAAAAAAATAAAATAACAAAACCCCTAACAATTCAAAGACATAATTAAAATTGCTACAGAATTGATCAATCTTATTATATGCAACTTGCAAAATACAAAACTAGATCTCACAGCATGAATTTATAGCTACAAATGACTTTTTAAGCACAAAAGGTAAGTGTGATTGGTGATACAATAATCCAAGGCATGCTTTCCCTATCAAGAAGAAGCAATTTCCAGACAAGCTTAGGGATATCTCATTTGCAGTCTCACTGCCTGACCAATTAAGAGAACGGCAGCACAATATTGCTCTTAAAGTAGCACAAAGAAAACAGAATAAAAGATCTTGACACTGAAGTTAAAGCCAGGTTAAATATGAGGTAGTATAACCCAGGAGAGAAGGTAACTCAAGAGGCTACACACTGCAGATCTGTAATACGGGCTTCCACAGGCAAGTTGTCCTTCAAAGATCCTAACTGCTGAAAGAAAAACACTTAAACAGCAGATATACGCTACAATAGTTTTACTGTCCTCCTCTGTAATGCTTTCAGTTCTGTAACCAAATTAACCTTCTGTTTTGATTCCTATTTTCACCTTTTGCTGAAAAATTTCAATTGCAGTTGGTCAATTTCATATCAGGATGAAAAGCAATGCTGGTAAAAAAAGACTAGCATCCCAGACTGCCAGCACCCTACAAAGGGCTTAGGAATCCAAGGACTTGGGAAGGAGGAAGCATTTTCTCTGTAAGAGACACAGGGCTATCTGAAGGCTGTTTAACAAGCTGCTGGGGGTGCAAGTCATTCTGGGCATGCCAGTGGTCTTTGCCAGACAGACACTAATCTTGACAGCAAAAACCACCTTGTATCTCATTTGAAAAGGGCAATCACTCCCTCCCTTGGGTGGATAAGGGCATTATGATACCTTTCTATCTAAATTGCTTTCAAAGATTTGTTTGCAAAGACAACAGGGAGCCAGCTTTCTCTGTGTTTATCTTATCTGAAGAAAGAAAGAATATAAAGTAGATAGATACCAATTCTCACCACTAAAAACAAAAATTAAAATTTCATGAACCATTCCACCTCACCTAGTCAATGCTTCTGTTCATTCAAAAGCAAACTGAATATGTGAGCTGTACAGGCACATGTGAACTGTGCAGCAGGGAAGAAGTATTTATAATGTACGTGTCATAGTGGGAGCTAGAAAATCACAGTACTACGGCTGTATATCAGTCAGGAGTGAAGTGAATGCTTGCAAGCACGCACACATTCACTCTCTCTGCAAAGGGAGTTATGACCCCCTCCATTCAGCCAAATGCTATGACAGAGAGCGCTCTCAACATCTGCATATTACTTCAAATATTTCATTCCACAATACTTCATACCCGTTCCTGGTATGGTGTCTAGCAAGTCCTTAATGCTTAAGAGCCAAATGGCTGGGTCTTAGAGGACCTTGTGCCGCTCCCTCTTGGAAGAGGCTAATGTGTGCTGACACTGGTGCAGAGTACAAGGGTAGGAATCCTTCAGCGTCTTCACCATGTCACTGCTCATTTCATTAAATAAGCTAATGACTGCTTCAGGAGTAGCCTGCAGTAATAAAAGCTCAGAGAAAGTATTTTTTTGCCTCTTAAAAGGACTCTGCTTGTAGGAAGAGCTAAAATTTGGTCTTACCATGCCTGACACTTCACCACCATGCCAGCAGCACCTTGGTGAAAACACGAAGGTGCCATGCCAGTTGTTTTTGACAGTAACGGCTCAATTTCCCATTTACCACAAAGCACTTTAGCACTCATAAGCCTGGCTCATTATACTCAGAAATTCATCTACAAAAACAATTCAGAAAGAATCTGCTAGCACAATTAAAACAAAGTTCAAATTTACAACAATCGAGCCTTTTACAGTTCGGATCCAGTTTGTCTCTCTTTTCACGTAAAGATAAACTGGATATAGAATTATAGAATACTTTGGGTTGGAAGGGACCGTTACAGGTCATCTAGTCCAACCCCCCTGCAATCAGCAGTGACACCTTCAATTAGATCAGGTTACACAGAACCACATCAAACTTGGCTTGAATGTCTCCAGGGATGGCGCATCCACTACCTCTCTGAGCAGCCTGTGCCAGGATTTTACCACCCTCATTGTAAAAAATCTCTTCCACGCATGCAGCCTGAATCTCCCCTCTTTCAGTTTAAAACCATCACCCCTCCTCCTGTTCAAAGAAAAGCAAAATAATGGTTACATTTACAGGTGGCAGCACAGAGCAGAAACTAAGATTATTTAGCCTAGACAGCAGGATTAGAAAGGATCAGCTGAGTTCATTCTTTCAACCCTGTCTCAAAATTGAATTCCATAAAGTCCCTAACAGCTAACACTGATGTCAGCTACCAGAAACCGCAGCACAGCATTACAGAACAGTAACTGATTTTTTTTCCAAGTGAAAGGTTAATAATATAGCCAGTATTGTAATTCACTCACATCAAGACAAAATCTAACACAGCAGCATATTAGCTAATGCACAGGCACACACCTTCCCAACGTTCAAAAGTATAAGAGGAATGAGAGTGGGAAGAAGAGAAGAAGAAAAAGGGAGAGAAAGTACATTAGGTCTCCTTCAGCAGTCACAGAAGCCAGAAGAAAGACCAATATCCTGAGCTGCTTAAGCAAGGGGTTAATCGTATTTTGCTACTGGTTTCCACAGAATTTTACAACTGTCTTCATGCAGGCATTTACTGACCAATCTATTTCTGCCCAGTATCCTGCAAAAAACATGCAGGAATTAGTCAGAACTACCCTCATTTTCATCATAAAAGTTAACAGCTTCAGGAAGAGTGAAGTATAGATCTGGTCAAGAGAGGTCTTTATTATTCCAAGTATTTACTGCATGACAGTCTTCCTGGAAAACTTTCAGCATCCTGCTGGTTCCTTTTCTTCTCCAAAACAGCAAAGAATGTTTTACTGCATGTAAAAACCCTCCATCATTGCACAACTAGGGATGAAAATTACGGAGAGTTTTAAAAATGTGACGAGGTGAGCGGAATTAAAGTTCAACTTCCCTATTACTCTGCAAAGGACTTCTAATAACACCCAATAAAAATAAGATTAAGTTTAAAAATAAAAGAGAACTAAGTATAAAATAATAGTGTTCCACTAATTTTACTTTTCAAAATTAATGTTGCTGCACTTTCTATTTTTCTTCGAAGAAATGTCAGGCAGAAATATCAAACTGTCCTCAGGGAAAAATCACAGCATCTGAGATTTAAGAAGAATCCCATGCTCAAATGAGTTAGTGTACTACTATTCACCAGGGAGCAGTGTATTATGAGGAACAATGTAATAAAAGGCTTTTTTTAATATGAGAATATACCTCTATATATCAACAGTGGCAACAGTGTCCGAATAGCTCCAACATCTGACAATTTGTAACCAGCCTTCCCAGCAATCTACTCTTTATGACAGCCTTAACTAGACACTTTCTAACACATAAGGCAGGATAAAATAGCGTTGCAAGCATGAAGAACTTCAGAAATTACTATAATACTGTACAGCAAGAAATTCTATATTGGTAAAAATTATTAGCAGGCAAAATGGTCCACTTGATGAGGATAATCAGAGAGAAAATATTCCTAGCTGCACCCAAGACTTATTGCATGACCTTGAGCAAGTAACTTAATTTCACTGCCCAATTTTTCCAATATAAAAAGGACAGTAACGCTTGCCAATTATTGCAGACATGAAATCTATGGCAAAATGCATTTCATTAATACCTGAGAACCTACATTTTGTTCTAGAAAAACTGTGCCTTTATAAGTTTTCAGAATTCTTTATAAATTCTTAGTATGGACACTAACTTTTAGACCAAAAGACCCAAGATAAGCTCACAAGACGCTCCCCCCTTAACGTGCGAAAGCCTGCTAAAGTCCCTGCTAAAAACTGAGAAGTGCTCCTTACAGCTCCTACGTAAAAAGTAGATTTCCACAAATTCTTAAGTGTTAGGGGCACACGAGGGAGAGGCAAAATCTCCTCTCTCAAATTCAATCTGTCTTTCACATCATTTATCTTTGTGAATGCAACTAGCACTGGAATGAAACGTCAAAAAAATGTTTGCTAAAACTGTGAAATTCGCACTGTTTCAGCCACTCCTTTCATAGTATAGGGAGAACTTTAATGAATTAATCAGAGCAAAAGAAAATTTGGCTAGATGAATTCAAATTATACTTCACTCTTTATTGCTCTACACGTGCAAGCACTTCAAATACTGATTAACATGTCTCAGCCACAAGATCACCAATCCACCTTTAACATGGCATGCCATTTAAGAGGTTACCCTGACAAATAAGCACTACAAATTTTCATATCAACAAAGCCTGTCATTTACAAAAGACAATATGTGTTTATTTAAAGCACATGATACAGCAGCAAACAAAACCCTAGCCCTGTGACATGTTTTTTATGGATGAACTACTGCAGGTCACAAAACTTTGGCTTTTGTACTCCATGCATTTAGAGGGGGGCTGGGTCAAGAAGCAAGGAAAAATGGATCAGGCTGCTTCATTACTCATATCTCTTCCAGCAAGAAAAATTACCTTATGCAAATATTCAGTTCCATAAAGCAGTTCTACATTGCTTAATGTTAATTACAGGAACGACTCTCCTTAAACATAATGCATTTTCAGGTGATGCATATTCTTACCTGGCAAGTTCTCTAATTAAGTTTGCAATGCGCCTCTTGTCCTCAGGACACAAATCCTTTAAAGAAGCACTCTTCACTCCTCCTTCATTAGTGACCTGAAAATTTAAAGTGACATTTTAGAAAGTACTCTTTAAAGGAGAACAAATATTTCATAAGATATTAAAGCATTTCAAAACCTAGTAACTAGAAGCAGACAAATTCCAACTGGAAATAAAACATGATTTTTTTTTTAATGTAAGTACAGTTCAGTGAAACAAATTACCAAATTGTGAAGAATTCTTTTAATAAACTCGTAATTCAAATGCAAGCTGCTAACTTTACAATTAAACATTTGGGTAAAGTTTTAAGACATACACTACCCATTGGTTCATACTAGAAAAAGGGCAGCAAGTTCTCCTGACTTGGAAATCTAGTGTAGCAATATCCAGATCTGAGTTCACACTTCATTATATTAGCAGCCTGAAAAAATTTAAAAAGAAAAAAAAATTTTTTAATAAAAAAAAATAAAATTCTGCCTCAGCATTTATGACCAAAACATTAAAAACAGCAAAAAAAGATATACAATATATCATTAGTAGATTGTGTAAGTCCTTATTTGGAAAGATTTTTTTAATACACGCTTTTTCACATGATTTTTCTTTTTTTTTTTAAGCACTTATTTGCTACCTTCGTACCTGCTACTTTTCAAACCGAACCTTTAACAGATTCCAGTACTTCAGGTCTTTTCATGCATTCCTTTAGCACACTGGTATTTGCTACCAATGTCCACCAGAGGGCACATTGCTGCTCGTGTTTGCAGCAGCTCCTGGGATTACCGAGGTTACTGACGTTACGTACTCAGGTGTTTCCAAACAGAAACAGTTCTAAACTCTAAACTGTTCTTCTTTATCAAACACTTTAGACACCAGTGACTCGGTTCTCCAGTGCTAGCGCTAACAAAAATCCCAACGTGAAAGCTGCAGTAAAAACTGCTATTTTGTCCAAAATAGTTTAAGCATTTCCACTTAATATGATTTACTTAATTCTCAGTTTAGATTTTCACAAATCTTCAAATATTACAAACCTTCTTGAAGGCATACTGTGCTTAATATGAGATCCAAGAATGCTATCAAATGCCTTGCAGGTTATTGCCCAGGTTATTCACGACTGTGAAACATGCTGCAATTAGGGAAGCATGCTGCTCTGGCTGGTATTCTTCGGTGTCTACCCAGTCATCTGGCCCACTATTTCTTTAATAGTTATTCATCAAAATGCTGATTTATTGGCTCTCAAAGTTGTTGCTCTTGATCTCACAGTTTCAGCATGTCGTACCTTACTTACAGCCAGTATTTGCTGGTTTAGTGTTTATCTGCTGGGGGGCCTGGGCTAAGGTTCTTGTTTCACTGTACTTCATGGCAATGACTTGTAATACAATAGACTCATTGATCATGAATCTGGGCTGGTATTTGCTCTCAGTGTGGTCATCACCTCTATACTTTGGGAGGTATATAATGGAAGCGTTTTAGCAATTACACATCTTTTTTTCCCTCCTCAGGTGGTCAGCCTATGAAGAAGACATTCCCTCACACCCTCCTCGCCGTGGGGCTGCCAGCATAGCTGCTCTGCCTCTGCAGGCATGGAAGGGATTTGAACCCACGTTTACAAGACTGATGCCTTATCACTTGGCCACCGCACCCGAGCCTGATTAGTTTCCCAGATCAGACGAGATCGGGCGTTTTCAGGGTGGTGTGGCCACAGGCTGAGTACGTGCACAACTAAGCAAAGCAAAACAAAGCAGAGGTGTCCAGGCTCCAAAAACAAGGTCTCACCAATGTGCTGGCCAGATGCACTGGGAGTCTTAGGAACCTGGAGATAAATGCTGCAAAGGTCCAGCTCCTTTAAATCCAAGGTGATTACATTCTGCTCGTCTTTTATCATCTTTGCAAGTCTTTGAGGCTGGTAACACCCCTGCCATCTTCAGTGAGTGGCTTTCAAGCTCTGGCATGATGTTCCCTTCTCTTTACTTCCAAAGACACAGTCCAGTAACTAAGGTGTAACACAAACCCACCACTGCTACCACCAGTAATAATATGGGAAATAACAAGGGAAGAGAATAGCTAACACAAGTTAACACAACACATCACTGAACCACCTCTGAGCATACAAAGCAAACACTGGGTAGCTCTCCCCTCATTAGCAGTAATGGCAGCTGATCTACACACATCAGGAAGGAAGTGCCCCCTTCCATTCTTTGCTAATTGCTTATTGGACAATAGTTTGAAATAATTAAAGAACTACATCACTTTTGAAAGAGATTTTGATTTTACACAGATTCATGTTACACCCGACTCTTCAGTACACTCTTATTTTAACTTAAGTGGATTTCCCAAAAGGATGGGGAGTGGTAAAGTAAAAGACTAGATTTTCCTAAGTCAAATCGTTTTTCAGGGCTTTTCTTGAGGACATTTGATTTCACAGTTTCCTCCCCAAAACATATGCTATTTACAGTCATACAAATGATGAGATATTAAAGTTAACTGAATTCAACTAAACATAAGGTTGAAGGATCTGCATTTCACATGCTAAAAATATCTGATTTATTTTTATTTTTAGCAGCCTGATGATGGAACTTCTTTAAGAAAAATCAGAAGTAACAGGACATTTTTCACCCACAAAACAGGCACAAGCTTGATCACATTAGTGAAGGAGATTTAAACAGAAGGTACTCAAAGCTATTACTCAAACTTATGTACATACTGTCAGACAAACATCAGTGGTATGAAAATTAAAATCTAAAAAGGCAGGCTTGTACCATAACACATGTCAAAATGAAGCTGTGGAATTATACACAGCAACAGCTCCACCATCAAAATAAGATGAAAAATGATACAGAGGCCAAGACTACTGTCTCCTTCCAGATTTCTGTCCTTTCTACGCAGCTCAGGGTAGAACTCACATTTCATAACTCAGTATTTTCTGGACGAAACACTATACATAAATGGGAGATTCTCTCATTTGATAAACCATGCCTTGGAAGATCACAATTTGCATGAAAGAAGCAGACAACTTCTGTCAAAAGGAAGTAGGAAGACAGAAAATTTTGGCCAAGACCAGTACAGCAAACCACTGATTCATTAAAATCACCAGAAAAGCTCCATAGCTAACAAGACCTTTTTGAAATCTTCTCCAAAATTCTAATTCACCTTTCTGGTACTCAAGTCCACCTGAATGAAGAAAAGGTAAATCAGTTCTGCCAAGATTCATACTAAAGCAAAACTCAGTCCATTCTCTTCAAAAGAGGATTCTGGTAAATCATAACGCTGAGCTACCTAGCAGTACAACAGTGTAAAGTGTGTTAAAAGTAAAGCAGCTCTCCCTAGACACAAACACACAACACCTTTAAGAGAATTAGTTGTGTGCTAACGAGAACTCCTAGCAAAAAGAATTTTGTGAAACGTTCTTCTTCCACAATAAGTAAAATGTACTTGCTCTGTTTGTTTCAAGTAATTCAGAGCTTATCTTCAAAGTCAGAATACAAAGTTTCCAGGAGGATTTGGCAAGATAAAAAAAAAAAAAAAAGGTTAAAAGAAATGGAAAAGAGAAAAAGCTTCAAACATATTTTATTGTCAAAAATATAAAAACATGTTTGAGTCTTCAATCAAGACTTCACATATGAGGCATTCTATTACAAAAAAAAATAAAAAAAAAAAAAAACCAAACCAAAACACAAAGACCATTGCTGTCCTAACAGCTCTCAGAGAAAGGGGAGTAAAATTTCTCTAAACAATGCTATCAACACACCATACAACAAAACAGATTTTAATGTGACATATGAAGGCATCTGACTTGTAGATACTTAGTAGAAAGAGATACTTCTACATGAAGATACTGCATAATGGGGGCTATTTGTGAAATTCCTCTGCATGTTACTTAACAGTATCATTTGCAAAGTGGGTCTATATACCAGTCTACTAAAAGCAAGTACTGATAAACAGAGGAATGGAAACAGGTAAGTCCAAGAAGGACCCTAAAAATGAATAATAGTTATGAAGATGTCATGCTAAAGGATGCGAAGGGCAGTGACACTGGCAGAGCAGTGACAGCTGAGTGATCTGTCTTCACATCAGTTTTGAACTCACATGTAAGGCACACAGCATTTACTCAGCACACAGAAGACACAAACAAGGACATCTTAGCCCAAACAACAAGATTTAACTGCATGATAATGCAACAGTGATTCAGAAGCAGTCAGAAGTTTTATATCCAGCCTGTAAAGTGAAAGCATACCAAATCCTAGTGAGTAACAGACTTGCCCAAGATGACTACAACACAAGGGAATTAACAGTACTCAAATGACTTATATAGTCCCTGTACTATACGAATCAGGTTAGAAAAATGGCACCTCTCAACAGATTTATGAGTATCACAGTACAGAACAGACTTCCAAAGGAAACCCCACTGCTCTGAAACTTATAATGCAATAAACTGTAGAAAAAGCATCAACTACTGCAGGAGTATACCAGAAAATTCAAAGCAAAGACAAAGACAATATCATCTGATAAAGGTATTTCTACTACTCAGAGTTATTTTTAAATTTTACTATCAAAAACAGAAAGTGATTTTATATACCTAACATAAGCAGACACACCAAAAAAGTCTCTAAAAAGAATCTTGCAAGTCTTGTTCCTAAGAATTATGATTACTTCAATGAAACTGAATAGACTGAAACAACCTCTTGTGTGTTTGGCCAGTAACATATAGATAGATATGGGGCTACTGAAAGCTACACTCTCTGTACATATACATACATAGAGAGATACATACTGTCTGCCTTACATAGCCCCAGTTATGTACCACTTACATAAATTTGCACGTTCAGCTTTTGTTCTGTAGGTGGGCAAGCGATTTCAGTGGAAAAGTAATTTTTGCCAGCAAGCCACCATGTAGGTAGGCGAAAAGTGTAAGAGATTGTAAAAATAATAGCACATTGAAACTGTTTAAGTTTTCAATCTAAAGATGTTCTGCCATTTTTCTACTATGCACACTCTTAAGAGCAAGAAAAATTTGCCTTTACTGACCTGCTGCCCTGTCAGATCTCCTGTGCTTCTAACGGGATCCATGGGAATGGAAGCAGCAGCCGCAGGCACCTTTAGTTCAGTTTCAGTTTTCTGATTTTTTGGCAAACACCTTGTTCTTAAATTTCCTTTTGTAGCCACTCCTGCAGGTGAAAGACAAGCAGAACACAGCGATTAGAAAGTCAAAATGGTCCTGTCTCTTGCCTCTCACAACAGGACTTCCACAAAGGCATCCGTGCCTTTAGCAGCATTTTTTCAGAATAATAAGCATTTCAGGTATATGTTTGCAATATTCCCCAGCCCTTCACTCCACACAAAATTTCTTTAAGATGAATATGAGCACAGCACTGAAGTGCACTCAGCCACATGAACATCAAAGTAAATTCTGAAACACACATGTTGTCTCTGACTGACCTTCAGTGCTAAAACCTGTGTTTAAGATGCAAAAGCATAAATTTGAGCTTCTGCTTATAGGCTTTAGCATGCCTATGTTCATACACAAGGGAGAATAACATTTCTGAAAGTCTTCCATGGAAGTGGAAGAATATCTCCCAGAATGAATTTTCTTTTCTATCACTTAGTATTGCTGCTTTCTTTCCAGGACAGAGCATAATGATCTGACATCACCTGGCTTGAGCTATGCTATCTACAAAACATAGGCAGAGATTTTTTTTTAATAGAACTGTTTGGCCAGTAATTTTGAACAGTAAACATGCTACTCCAAACCTAGACAGCTGAATTCCTTAAAATTTATAATTGCTAGACATAGTCGTGACACATACACCGTTTTACTAATCATCCCACATTATGTTTCAGGACCTGGTGTCACTGCAAAAGCTGTGTTTGAAAACAATTAGAAAATTCCTAAAGGGGACTAGTAATACCCATCTTTTCCCCAGAGATGTGCATAAGCATGCACTCAGTAAATCAAGGTCAAGAGAACGAATTAAAAAAAATAATAATAAAATTCTTTCTTTATACAATAGATCTTCATTTTAATTGACCTCTTCAAAATCTACAAAAGATCTGAACATCTACAATGCTTCAACATTCTTTAGAAACCACATTAAAAATTCAGCTTACCTTGTAGACTGGATAAAACTATGCTGTACCTGCAATTGAAACAACTCCCCTGAAACTGTTCATCTTACACTGGTACGCTTATCTAAGCAGCAGAGTATAAATCTACTATAGGCCTGTATGTCCTGTTACAAGTTGTGATGACTCTAAGGTACTCTCTGTACTTTAAATACTTAGGTACACAAACCAGGTACCTGAAAAGACATTGCAAAGTTTAGCATTCACAGGAAAAACCTTTTGTTTATGATTAGCAGGTCATACCTGAAACAGATACCATTCGCTGTTCTCCATCAGAAACTGCATGTGGCTTTGTTAAAGGTAATAAACAAAGAGAGCAAGCTTGGCCCATTAAAGGGAACTACAAAAGTAAGTATTTTGTCTTAATTTTAAAAGGTTGTTGATAAGAAAGCAAACTGGCAACACACTGGGAGCACCAAAAGCAAACAAAACTTGACAGGAGAAAACAAACACCACAGATGGCTAAACCAAAAAGCATTATTATTTCTTCACTGTGCATTAACTTTTAGTCTGTAATTTTAGAGGTCACCTTAACAAAAGATCCCACAGACCAGGCACAGTTACAAGTGCAATTAATAAGGTAATGAAGTAATACTATTTATTTAAATTAAGCAGGAGCCTCTTGATATGTAGGGAAGACAGATTTTGAAATAGTGTAAATTCATACTGCAATGAAATACATTTTGTATAAGATATTCTAAAAAACATAAACAAGGAAAAATGCAAAAGGTTTCAAAGGAAGTTGGTCATTCTCATCTGACCATCACATGGTGAGTAACAGATGAAAGCCTTAGGACTGTTTGTCTTTATGAAGTTTCAGGAACTTTCAAATAGCCCAGAGCTTTAACTGTTACATTACTTGACTGCAGAAAGCACTAAAATAAATAAATAAGTAAAATAAAATAAGTAAATAAATAAATACATACATACATAAATAAATCGCAAAGGACTGGGCACCATATTATTTGTGCTGTTAACAGCTACTGAACTTGAATCCTCGCCTCCTAGAAGTCACTAAAAGTAAGACTCAACACAATTCAGGGAAGAGTGTAAACTACAGCCTTTTCCTTCAAGCAACAGTTTCATTTAGCTGAGCATAAAGATTTTTATTCCCACATAAGTAATTAACATTATACTAAAGTGGAAAACAAAAAGAGAGGGCACAAAATATCTTTAAACCCCTTCACTTTCCTCAACCTGCTAAGGTTGGCAAGTTAACTCAATTACCTAATTCCTGTACTGTTTACAGTAAAATGTATTTAAGTTGTAGTTGTCTTCATGCAAGAAAGTCAAATTGTGGAAATAACCTTAACTAAAATTTGATTTTGATAGTACAATTTCAAAAACTTGATTTAATAAATTACCACATGGTGCAGAAAATTAGCAACAGCCTAGATATTTCCTTCTGTAGACAGCAACTTTAAACTCAATCAATACCCACTATGTTGGCACTGATCACAGGCTCACTTGTGATCTTGTTGATCCACTTTATCACTTGTAAACAAGTATCACCCATCAGTCTCACACCAGTTTGAGAATATGTTCACTTAGTACCACTAGCAGTCACCTCTTTCTCCACAAATGCCAAAAGCACTTTGGTTTTTATCGTGCGATGAACAAGGTGAGGAGCTAAATAAGCTTTGAAAGTAAAGCACTACATTCCTTCTTTCCAAAAACACCAAGGTAAATCAAAAGTCCAAGTCTGGGTCACAGCCCAGTCCAAATAGCTGTAAGAGCACAACTGCAACAGCAATCTCCAGGACACTGAGGAGACTATCTTCAACTCATTCTACTACGGGAAGTAACAAACTTCAGCACACGCGATTGCATTGTCAACTGACATACAGTTAACATGTGTGTCAACACGATGTTATGTAGGAAATAAAACAGATTTGCCTAAATAACTGTATTGAGTTTGCATGCCAATGTTTTAATAGCAGGGGAGCCACAGGGGTGGTTTCTGTGAGAAGCTGCTAGAAGCTTCCCGTGTCCAGTGGAACCAAGGTCAGCCAGCTCCAAGACACACGCTACTGGCCAAAGCCAAGCCCATCAGCAATGGTGGTGGCACCTCTGGATATCATGGTCTAAGATAGCAAGAAAATTGCTGTGCAGCAGCAACTGCACCTAAATAGAGTGAGAATATGTGAGAGCAACATCCCTTCATACACCAAGGTCAGTGGTGAAGGAATAGAAGAGAGGCTTCAGGCACTGGAGCAGAGATTCCTCTGCAGCCTGTGATGCAGACCAGGGTGAGGCAGGCTATGCCCCTGCAGCCCAGGGAGGTCCATGGTGGAGCAGATATCCACCTGCAGTCCATGGAGGAGCCTACACTGGAGCAGGGGGATACCTGAAGGAGGCTGTGACCCCATGGGAAGTCTGCACTTCCCCCAGGAACAGGCTCCTAGCAGGATCTGTGGCCCATGGAGAGAGGAGCCCATGCTGGAACGGGTTTGCTGAAGTAGCTGTGACCCCATGGAAGGGATGCATGCTGGAGCAGTCTGCTCCTGCAGGACTGCACCCATGGAAGGGAGCAGTTCATGAAGAACTGCAGTCTGTTCATGGAAGACCGTCTCCCATAGGAGTGACCCCACGCTGAAGCAGGGGAATAGTGTTAGGAGTTCTCTCCTGAGAAGGAAGGAGCAGCAGAAACATGTGATGAACTGAGTTGGACCCACATTCCTTATCCCCCTGTGCCACACTGATGGAGGAGGTAGAGAAATCTGGAGTAAAGTTAAGCCTGGGAAGAAGAGGTGGGTGAGGGGAAGTTGTTTTTAAGGTTTGGGTTTACTTCTCATTTTCCTATTCTGACTCGATTGGTAATAAATTAAACTGATTTCCCCAAGTTGAATCTGTTTTGCCTGTGATGGTAACTGGTGAGTGATCTCTCGCTGTCCTTATCTCGACCTGTAAGCCTCCCAGTTCCACCCATTAGACTCCTCTAGGTTGGAAAAGACCTTTAAGATCATCAAGTCCAACCACTAGTCTGGCCAATGGCTGGACTGCCACCCTAATGTCTTCAAGTAGCTGAGCCTCTAACTCAGCCACATGATCCTAAACATCAATGCCAACTCCTCCTGGTTCTCTGAAAATGCAAACACATCTCTATAGCCAGGCTTTTACAGGCTGAATCCCCACCACCACTAAACCACCACCTACTCCATCTACATGTCCAGCCCCACATAGTGTCTCACACCTGGAGCTTGCACATCTTCCACAGAGGAAGCCACCGCAACTTCTCACTTGTCCCTCACAGACCGAATCATGGATTCATAAAATAGTTTGGGTTAGAAGGGACCTTCACAGGGCACCTAGCCCAGCCACCCTGTAATGAGCAGAGACATCTTCAACTAGATGAGATAGAAGCCTCCAGCCTTCATGTCCCTCCCGGAGTTACCCTAAATCATAGAATCACAGAATAGTAAGGGTTGGAAAGGACCTTAAGATCATCCAGTTCCAAGCCCCCTGCCATGGACATGGACACCTCCCACTAAACCATGTCATGCAAGGCTCTGTCCAACTTGGCCTTGAACACCGCCAGGGATGAAGCATTCATGACTTCCTTGGGCAACCCGTTCCACTGCCTCACCACCCTCACAGAAAAGAACTTCTTCCTTATACCCAATGTCATGCTTTCAGTCAAGTTTTGACACCCGTCACAAAAGACATATTTTTTCTTGCTGCCTATTCAGTCTCCAGCCTCAGTTTCTCTCAACTCCCTTGCAAGTTTCCATAAGCTAAACCCAGTTTCCTCATTTCCTACATATATACCTCCCCACAGGACCTTATACCTAGGTCACAGAGGCAGTGGATACGCAGTCTTCTCTCCTCTCGGAGGCCACCTTTGCTTTTAAATCCTACATAACCCTCCCTTCACACAGATTCACACCCAACCCCTCTCCACGGACCGACCTCCCCACGCTCATAGGCGGGTCCCCCAAACGCCATGTACCACAGCCGCCATACCCTAGCCGCCCCACAGCCACAGTCCTTCCCACACCAAAGCCCCAACGCAGATACTCCCATCGCCTGCCCCACACAGCTCACAGGGCTCCCCACAACCACAGTCCTTCCCGCTCCTATCCATACCGCCCCCGCCCCCCCACGCAGCGTCCCAGCAAGTCACAGCCCCGTCGCGCCCGCCCCGGCCCGCAGAAGGATACTGCCCTGACTCCAGTAAACACCACCGCCCGGCCCACCGCCCGCCTCCGCCATCTTGAAACAACCGCCACTCCCAGAGTGCCCCCCGTCACCCCCCCATTGGCTGCCCGTGCCGAGGGAGCGGAGCATGCCGGGAGTTGTAGTCCTAGTGGCAGGTTTAGTCCGCCATTAGGGTGGACGAGCTTCTGCTGACAGGACTACAGCTTCCGGTGCACAACTCAGCACCGCCCTGGCTAAGGAGTGCGAGGAAGGACAAAAAGGATCCTCGTCGCACACGCCCCCATTGGTGTCCCTTGTGTGCCGGGGTGCTGGCTGTGAAGGCAGCCGGGTCCATCCGGGAGGATGGAGGAGAAGCCGTCCGCCAGCCTTAAGCCCTACCTGGACAAGCTCACCCTGGGGGTCACACGGATACTGGGTGAGTGGCGGCGTGCTGGAGCGGTGTGGGGTAGGCCGGGGGCGGGCGGGGTGGGGCGGGGCGGGGTGTGGTGTGGTGGTCACTTGGTTGTCACAGAAACCGCCCGCGGGCGGGAAGGGCGCCTCCCTCAGCGCCGCCCGCCATGGCCCCGCCGTCCCCGCCCCGTCCCGTCCCGGGCCGTGTGTGCCCGAACCCCCAGAGCCGCGGGGTGTGAGCCCTGGTGGGACCCCGGGCACGGGGGCGGCGAGGGCCCTCCTCTGGGATCACATGCACACACATCCTCCCTGTTTCTGTTATTTGAATAAACAGCAGAAGTCCTGATACTTAGAGCCCCGCAGTGTCAGAGAAAGCACAGAAAGTGGTGTTTTATTCAAAATCATGCATAATTCTTAGTTTCTGTTTCAGTGTATGGTAAGCAGGTAGCGCACCGAATGGAAGGGAGTTCAGCCTAGTGCACAGCTCTGGTAGGTTAATTTGTGGATCTGCTCAGGACCAGCGCCCCATAATCTGTAGCTATTCCCATACCATGGCACTTTCTCCACAGAATGCCCTGCTTGCTGTCTCCGGGTTTTGCTCAGATCTCGAGGCTTCTTGCATCCCTGTGGTTCGCTCTGAAGATCAGCTGCAGTGCAAGGCATTCAACACCTACAGGAAAGCTTTTCAGGCAAAACTTTGCTTGTGGCAGTAGAATCACAAGAGCTGGTGAAAGGATCTAAAGCCTACGGCCACACCACCCTGAAAACGCCCGATCTCATCTGATCTCGGAAGCTAAGCAGGGTCGGGCTCGGTTAGTACTTGGATGGGAGACCGCCTGGGATATCCCAGGTGCTGTAGGCTTTAGATCTGGACTCAGTAAAAGAGAAGCTGGTGGTGGGAGAGCCGGCAAGCACAGCAGCTACACCAGCCCCAGTGACAAGTACAGCAGCATCGTTTGAGAGTTCTGAAGGTTCTGAACGGCCTTTGGATACCCTTGGGACATGTCTGCTGATTGTGATGGGGATCAGCATGTTGGCACACATACAGAGTGTGTTTTACCCACCACCATTTTGTCTGATCCCGAAATTTAAGCAGAGTCAGGTTTGGGTCTTGTCTGGGGTTAGACAACAATATGGGAGGACCAAGAGGTTTCCCCCAAGGGTGGACAGCCATCAGTGGCAGGGCATGTGGGACAGTAAGGGCAAGTATCTAGTCCGCTGGGCCCCTCCAGTGCTTTGGAAGCATTGGAGATGGAAGGACAGTGAATTATTTTGAACCTGGTGGGCCCATGACCCTTAAGGCCAACAGAGCAGAGATGCAACATAGAGATGGACTCATGATCAAGGGGTGGGACCTAACAATGGACACTACTGCCCAGGTTATTCATGTGTGTGAACACTGCACACAGCCTCTCCTGCTCTGAAAGACTGTTACAAGAGATGGAGCCTGACATCATGGACCAGATGGACTCAGCAGCTTTATAGGGACTAGTCTTTGCACTAAGATAGAAGTGCACTGAGATCAGAGTGATGGTATATTGAAAATGTAGGATCTGAGCATGACGTGAATGGTATGGAATAAGGGGTGGATAATGTCCTGGGTTTAGCAGTAGCAGTCATTTTTCTCCTTGGTAGCTGGTGCAGTGCTGTGTTTTAACTTTCAGCTGGGAACAGAGCTGATAAAAATGATGTTTTGGTTTGGCCAAGGACTTTGTGGGCATCATGCTCTGCCAGGGAGGAGGGAAGCTGGGAGGAAGCAGAGACAGGACACCTGACCCAAACTGACCAAAGAGGTATTCCATACCACAGCACGTCATGTCCAGGATGTAACTGGGGAGGGACCCGGAAGGGGCTAGAGTGGACTGCAGGGTTGGAGGAGGTATCAGTCGGTGCTTGGTCTGGCTGGGGGGGCGAGTTATCGGTTGCCTGGTGATGAGGTGTTGTATTCTCTTCTCTTGTTATTTCCTTTATCATTACTATTATTGGTGGTAGCAGTAGTGATTTGTGTTATACCTTAGTTACTAAACTGTTCTTATCTCAACCCGGGGGAGTTGCATTCTTTCTGATTCTCCTCTCCGTCCCTCCGAGAGTAGGGGGAGGGCAAGAAGTGGGGGGGGAGTGAGTGAAAGCTGTCTGGTTGGGTTCAAACCACGACACATGTGTAAAGGATTTTAGCATCAGACCTTTCATCTCTCAGCAGCTTGGGGCACAGAGCTGTCATGTTTATATGGCTGGAAAGCAATACATCTCTGCCAATTCCAGTGTTGTAGGGTAGACAGCATCACAGATTGCAGCTCCAGAACTTCTTCCTATGAATTTTAAAGCCAGAAGTGACTGCTGTAATGCCCTCACCTAGCTGCTGTATTGCAGGACAGTGAGTTTCATTTGGTAACCGAAGAGTATTGCCAGTTGCACGTGTTTTTAGATAGCTGCTAAGGCAGACAAGATTAAAAGATCAAAGGAAAATTCTTCCTGGGGGCTTCAGTGAGGACAGGATTTCATCCTTAGTATCTGTTAAGCATTCTCTTACTGACTTACTATTGGACATCTTGGAGGTCCTTGTTTGTTTTTTCTTGTTTTCCAGTTGGGAGGTCAAGACAACAGTATCACTCTACTCTGTGAGGGTTAAAAAAGTGAAACTACTGATGATGAACCATCATGGCACATTCTTCTTTGAAGTATCTCTTTTTGAAAACTTACTAGCCCTGCCCACATTTTCACCACCCAGGCTGAGAAGTATGCAGTCTACATGATGTTATCTATGTCCAAACGTAATGTCACCATATAAACTGTTTTGGGTAGGTGTGTTATTTACACCAGCAAGGCTTGGCAATGCCAGCTGGACTCTGAAACTCCTGTAACATCCCTTTCACATGGAAGGTGTTTCCTGGTTTGTGTTTTTTTTCTTTGACTTTCTATCTATATCTCTGATTGCTTGTATTGTGCAATATAGCAATGCACACCCCAGTCTGTTGCAGTGATGTTTTACTCTGCTTCTTTTCTCTGTCTATTCACTCCCTCAGGGAATTTTGCACATTTTTTCCCAGTGAAGTAGTCCAAAGCATGTAAATTGTACCACCCTATTAATTAAAATTATTGAGCTAATTGGGAAGCATTACCCATCTGTTCAGTGTTTGCTTCTTCCAAATTACAAAGGGTATTTAATTCAGAAAGATGCCTTACTTGGTAGTTTGTGGCACTAGAAACTATCTTACTTTAAATCTTCTTTTGGGAGCTCTCATGAAGCCAGTAGATACTTTTCTAGCTGATATAACACAAAAGCAGTAATAAGCTTTTAACTCTGTTGTGGAACTTTTTTATCAGGAGATACCATTAAGTATGCAATGAAACTCAATATACTCTTCTTAAGCAAGAAAGTTTTGCATGTGTTGGTATATGGGAGCTTGAGGCCCCATTTTCCGGTACCTTTATAAACAAATGTTCATGGTACCATTTCAAAAACCCTCCTTTAAACAAATTCCATACATGAGGTTGTGGGGGAAGGAGGTTGTTTTGTTCTTTTTAACTTCTAGTCCCTGTGAAAGGCCCTACAAAGTGTCAGTTTTCTCACAAGCATTATGGAGGTTCTAATTTGAGGAGAAAAGAGAGGCATATTTCCCATTGCCACTAGGATTAATTTTGCTGTTGTTCTATGAGTAACAGCAAACTTCAGAAACACTGATTGCTCACAGCTAAATCTGAACAGGAGGTGTTAGCTGTTCTGGGCTGCCCAGAGCAGGACCATGCTTCACTATTTACAGTCTTTTATTAAATAAGAATGTAACTATTCACACATTTTTAAAAGATGCTGAGAGTTTATCCAACTTATAGACAGTATTAGCAGTACTGTAAGGACTAATAATGCTACGATGATTTCCCCTTCAGCTTTGTGTTATACCATTACATCAACTCTTTGCAATTAACACTGCAGAGCATTTTTGGGAGCTTCCATAGGAAATGTCCTAAAAGTAGCACAGAGTTTACTGTGATCTTGATTCAGGATAGTTACAGGGAGGAGTCACCTGAACTACTTAAGCTTCATCCTTTTGTCTAACCTAAGTGACTTATTTCTTCCATCTGAAAGAAAAAGCAACTCATGGCAGGCTTATTTTCCTCATTAATGTTTAATGGAGCTCTCACCCATACCTACACACATCTGTTAAACATGGTCATCAGTTTACTCACAGCATGGATATTTTTAATACAACATTCAGGCTTTTAAGACTGAATTTATCTTTCTTTTGATCTTGGATTTGGATCAGGCCTCTTCAGAAGTCGCAGTTTTTGCATTCCTAGACATCTTCTTTGACTGATATGATATATAATTTTCCATCATCCCAGCCAAGCTGTTGTTCATGGTGAATTAAACATCCTTGCAGTTTTCTTTGATCACAGAAATAACAATTACTCTGTTGCTGTAATTAGCTTGCATAGCTTAAATGGAAGAGACCAGTTAGAGTTCTTCAGAAGCAGAATACTTCTTTAGAAGCAGAATACACATGGATGGGTTATATTTCAGCAAGCGACAGATTCCCCCACATTGAACCCACCTCTTGGAAGTCCCACTTGGCCAAACATCAGAATCTTCTGTATGTTGGGACAACTCTTGGACAGACGGATTACCTAGGTGACTCACTGTGATTTTTCTTCTTTTTCTTTTTTTCTTTCTTCAACTTGGAGTTTGGTTTCTAGTGCCATATTTTGTCTTCTAAATTGTCTGACAACATACCCATCAATACTTCCAGTTAAGTGAAGTTTAGACTTCCTGAAACCGAGCGCTGCTTCTCCACCAACAGAACAGATAACACAGAAGGACAACGCTACTGCTTGAATTAAGAGCCCAGCACTAGAGATAAAAACAAACCAAAGCTCTCTAGTGCCTGTCTTTCCTGTCTAGTGCGCTGGGTATGTTTTACCAGAAAGCAATTATAATACATGTGACCGCTTTGAGAAGCTAATACTTTCACAGCAGAGCTGGTCTTGAAAGCCCTGCATAGGGATCACTTCTATTTCACGGTGGCCCTGTGTGCTGGGCTTGCACTTCCCACAACAAGAAGTTAGTAGTCTTTCTGGACCTGATCCAAAGTGAATGAAGTCAGTGGCAACTGTGTCAGTTGGCTGCAGATGAAGTAAAACATCATAAAATAATAAGTGCAAAGGAGACTGTCCTGCCATACACACACCCACAAGGATAGCACCTTGTAGATTAGTATTTGCATTTACATATCATTCTTTCCCATAAAATATTCAGATGACTTTTATAAATTGAGCTTAGCGCTCGTACCAAATTCATGCATGTCCAGCTGGGATCTGCATGAGCTGATGTTTGCTCATGCGCATCCCCTCCTCAGGATCAGACTCTGCTTCTGTTCAAGCCCACCGAATCCAGTGCTGAAGTGTGCAATCTTTGTGAAATACAGTTGTTAGCAATTCACAGCAACGCTTCTACATCTTATGTCAAACTAAGAATATCCTACACAACTGAAACCACAGGACACACTTACAAAGAAAGTGTTGCAGTTTGCTAGGAACCCATGGTTTATTTTCCCATGAATCCTCTGCAGAAGATCATGCCTTGAATATGAATTGTGTGTGTGTGTGTGTGTGTCTGTGTGTGTGTGTGTGTGTGTGTGTGTGTATGTCTATAAAAAACATCAAAGGATGACATCTTGTGCAGCCCTAGGCATCCTTATGCCAAGACTTGCCAAGTACAGTTACAGACAAAAGAAAGTGGCTGCTCAGTCACTAGCACAATGCTTGCAGTCATTAATGCCTTTTCCCCAGCTGTCACTCACAATCACTTGCAAGGTTGTCTGGCTCACAGTGCCAGCTGCAAACATGCTCTTCTTTTCCTTTTAGAGACTTCCCCAGGAGTTGCTGAGGTGAAGTTTGTGGAAAAGGAGCCAGCTGAACACCACACAATCATTTCATGGGAGCAAGTGAGTATTTTTGTGGTAATATTGCAGTGAGGTCTGTCTGAATGTACAGCAGCCCATGGAGAGTATCAAATGCAATGGCTGCCCTTTCTTTTATTGTGATACAGCCTGCTACCAAGTTTGAGGAACAGAGGAACCTAAAGAGATGTTATTTGTTTGTTTTCATGAGGTATTACCAATAGTCTTTTAGGCTATTGCATGTGCCCGATCTGTTAGAAAAACTTCTGCAGTGTTGGTATATTCAGAATGACAACTCCAAAAAGAAATGACATAGCTGTAGTAGGCAACAACAGTGGTGACTCAGTGAAGAACAAACATTGTTCTGACTCAGGTCTGAAACCATTTTCTTACTCCCTTTCAAACAAAATGGAGCAGCTCTTCATTATTCATGTCCATTAAAGGTAAAGTCCTCAAGCTGGAAAGTACGACTGAGCCACTCAGTTCATTCCAGTTATCTATTTATCTTTTCAGTCTCAACTGTTCACCTCCATTTCTCACAGCCCTTTCTTCCACCTCCTCTCCATCTAACCAACCCAGTCTTTTGGCCAAAGCATGTCCCATTGCCTGTTCTATAAGACTGTGAAAGACACATGCTACCTTCACATTAGCTGACCTCACTGCAACAAATGGTGTGACCAGAGGGCTCCTGAATAGTGTTCTGTGACTCTGCTGGGCAGAGATGGCATTTTTGGTCCTTTTTTCAAATACACATATGCTTATCAATCCCATGACAATGGCAGATGTCATGGTTTAACTCCAGCCATCAACTAAGTGCCATGCAGCTGCTCACTCACTCCCCTTCCTCTGCAGTGGGACTGGGAGGAGAATCGGAAAAAAAGGTAAAAACCTGTGGGTTGAGGTAAGAACAGTTTAATAATTGAAATAGAAGTACAATATAATAATACAACAATAATAATAGTAATATTTTTTCTTAAGGAAATAGAGGAAGGAATAAACCCTGTTGCCTCTACACCCTCTCTCTAAACCCCCCCCCCCCCCCAAAAAAAAACAAAGCACAACAACCAAGTGATGCACAATGCAAGCTATGGGATGGAATACCCCTTTGGCTAATTCAGGTCTGCACCCTCTGGGCTTCTTGTGCCCCTTCTCACTGGCAGAGCATGAGAGACTGAAAAGTCCTTGATCAGAGTAAGTGCTACTTAGCAACAACTAAAATACGGGTGTTCTGTTAGCATTGTTTTAAGGCAAAAGCCAAATACAGCACTGTACAAGCTATTAGGAATAAAATTTCAGCTGGGATAACAGTACGGTGGAATAAATACTTTAATGGTGTTACTCAGATGTAGTGAAGGAACAGCTCAGAAGCTCACTCGCCTTTGCATGGCAGAGGATGGAGATAAGCAAATCATCCTCCTCCTGCTCCAGCCCTGGCTATGCAGTAGTGCACATGCTGTCATGGACTGCACATTACCACTGCTTAAAATAACTTCCCCCTTTGATGACACCTTGCCCTTTACAGTTTTTCTTAAACAGTAGCAAAGAATCTTGCACTAGTTTTGGTAAAGCCCTATCCCAGTTAGTGATATGTATCAAGAATTTGTAAACCTGTCAGAATGCATATGATATAAACCTATGGTATTTACTGAAACTTGTACAGTAGCCAGCAACTCTGCTCAGGCAGAAGTGTCTGGTTTTTCAGGTTCATGTGAATTGTTTCCTGATCTTCTCCTGTAACTGTTGTTCAAGTGTCAGATTAACTGGTCTGGAAAGTCTGAGGCCTCTGACTGTGAGCCAGCCCAGGCCTGGTGGCAGCAAGAATTACATTTGTTTGTTCTTCTGTTGAGTGGAGAGGACTGCTTCTCCTGAGCACAGTACTGCTCTCATATCAGGTGCTCGTACTCCTCTGAACTAAACCGGGCTTGTTTCAAAATTGAGCTGTTCTTGTAAAGCCAAACTCTGAAATGCGGTAGCCAAATCAGTTGGCTCCAAAGATGTCAAAACAAAGCTTCAGCTCCATCCCCAACCCACCAGTGATGGACTAAGTTCATTGTGAAAGTAAATGGTGAAGATTAAGTAGACCAGTTGAGTAGACTGCTAATGGTGCAGGACTTTACAATCTATTTCTTTGTGTTTGCTCCCAGTTGCATTGACAAAACTCAAATCTACTTCTTGAATTAACAGGTAACTATTTTTTCCTATTTTTTCTTGCACTTTGGAGGTGAAGTCTGATATCTAACAGTCCATACAATTGCAGTACGTCCTGCAATGAAGATTAAAGGCAAAGCATTCAGCACCTCCCAAGGTCCTTCTAGGATAAACTGGTACCCCGCTTTTCCTCAAATTCATCCTGCTTGAATGTGAATACAAGTTTAAGTGTATCCAGCTTTCACTTTTATCACTGGGTTTTTTCATAGCCACTAGGTGGCAATACTTATGCACACACTTGTCACAGCCTGTTTGTAACTCACCTCTACGTTTTTTGTTACGCAAGTATTTGCAGGGGGTTTTGTATGATGTAGGGGAAAGTGGTTTCATTGACAGCAAATAAAAGCTCCACTTTTTAATTTTTTTTCTAGAAGCAATTTTTCCAGTCCTACTTCAGTTTTGCAGTGGAATACTATTCCTGCTAAGAGAAAATACATGGTATTCAGGAATTCTTAAAAGAAAGTCAACATTTCTTATGAATCTGAATCTTTCCAACCTTAACCATTCTATGATTAAAATCATGTTCTGATAGTGCTCGCAGTGTGCAAATTTTTTGCCTCTGTCAGCTGTGCTTGTTAAATTGGGCTGTGCTTGATTTGTGCTAGTATTTAAGTGAATGCTGTGATGGAGGTTTTAAAGTCCTAGATCAGCTAGTTGAATGTCCGTTAGCTGCTATGAGGCTTTGCAGAGGAAGGTGGGCTTCGTGACAGGAGACAAAGCAGTAAGACAGTAAGAGAGCTGAAGAGATTTTTTTCTCAGGCTTTGTGTAGAGGCAGAAAGAGCTGCTCAAGAAATCAAACTTGAAATTAATCATCAATATTTTATTGGAAATCAGCACACTCTCTAAGATACGTAAGGTATATAATTGTTACATATATACATCACTTCCCCAAAACTTTAAAGCAGTTCAAAATATTTAAATAAAAATTTAGGACTAGCAAGATGATATCTTTTCCTCAAGAAAGTAAGACAAGCAACAGAAGGGAGTAGAGACAGTTTCCAGGTCACTGGAACACCAGTGCTAATAACTACATTATCCTATGAACCCATTCCCACTCCTAAAATTAGGCTGGCAACTGCCCTGCTCCCTTCCATGTGCAGTTTTTAAAAGTAGGTGTTACACTAGAATAGTGATAGGAGGCATTCTGGTATCAGCTGTGGCTGTGTCTGAACCACATTTTCTTTTCTGCCTCAACCAGAAGAGAAGTAAGTCACTCACATCCTTGATTTTCAAAATCAGAAAATTGCATTCTGTTAGGGGGAGCTGGAGCACCACAGTGCTCGGCACCACAGCAGGCCAAGGAAAATGAAGGGGGTCATTTTACCCTTATTAGCTTGTTAGCAGTGTCTGAACTGCCCCTGGCTGGCTGTAAGCAATCCGTGCCCATCATGTTGCTGGAGCTTTGATGTTCTACATCTCTACAAGGGAAGTACGTTGTTTCTCCTTAGGCACTTTGTGGATGAAGATTTGTTTTTCTGTAATAAAACCATTAAAAAGCTCTTAAGCAGCCTGGTGCTTTCCTGTTGTGAGCTATCTTAGGCTGCCAGACAATTTGGAGACTCTCTCTGCATGCAAATCTCAGTGGAAACTGGTTGTTCCTGGCTGTTCTAGAAGTCTTCCTTTTTGCTTCTACCATATCTCTTTTGACCCAAAAGTATGCACATCTATAAGGGTCCTCTTGCTGCCCTCCTTGTAATGTCCTCCCTCAGCATTAGGAGGCCTTCCATCCTTGATTTCCAGTAGCACAGGATCTGCACATCTTGAGCCTGCCTTGTGGCCCTGACCATGAGAGAGGTGGGAAAGTGGACCCAGCAGAACGAGTGCAAGAGGAAAGGTATATTTCTTCAAACCCTATAATGGGGGAGAGGCTGGAGGACTATTGGGAGGTAGATAATGTTTCTGATACAGTGTTCCTCTCCTGTGAGGCTTCATAATATTCTGATTAGGGATAGGTCTACCCCAGCCCCTTGCCTTTCAGGGCAGGATATCTAAGCACCATGATCTCCTGGGAACCTCCCCAGTCAGATTTATAAAAAGTGCAACAAGAACATCTCAGTATGTTAAAAAAATGAACTTCTGCGTTCACTGGCAGCTAGGGCAGACCAGACATTAAACATTAGGGAGAGAGAAAGGAGGCTGCTGGTGTACTGTAGTACTTATAGGGCCTGAGAAGTGGCATAAATCGCTTCCTTCTCTCCCCAGAAGTTGGATAAAACTCATTAAGTTTTTAAAAGAAGTCTCTCTCAAGCTATAAGCTTTGACTGTTGTTCATTTCTTTAGGATATTAGGTGGGGAAGCCTTGTTTCAACAGTACTTTAAGTGAATTGCCATATGTCAGTGTTTTAGCTGTGGCTCCAGTGCTGGTGAGGTCTTGGCAGCAAAAATAATCTGGTTCCAATACTATTCTTTATCCTCAGTGGACTGTGCTTTCTTGGAAGACTTGGGAGACATAATGTTTGGGAATATTACCGACAATAAACAGAAGAAGTAGACCTCACACACCATATTGGACACTAGGGATATTTCATTTTATGAGCTGATGAGTGTAACCAGATGACTGTAGTGAAAACAGCTGCTTGCCAGGTCTGTGGTTAAGCTGCTTCTGGCACGTTATTAGGAATATTGTATTTTATGGAGCTGAAGATCACAACAGTGGAAACTACCCATTGAGCTGGAGGAACACAGAGCTTTAGAAGCCATTTTTAAGCTTGAGAAGCCATTTTTAGTATCTAATAGTAGCTTGTTTCTCTGACTGCTGTCACAAGATCACTGTTTTGACGCCATAGGGTCATGTGGCTGAGCGTAACATAACAGATCAATGAATCCTTTCTGAGAGATGGCTATTAGTGAAGCTTTCTATAGAGAGTTCTTTCGCTATAGACCGCAGATGTGCTCTGGTACAGCATTTTCTACCCATGTATTTTGCACCATTATTTGGGGAGTCATGCAAAGTGACATGGTTAGAAGAATCCTAAAATAAAGTGGGGAACACAGCCATTTGGAGAAACATGCACATGTTAATCTTTCCATCCAGAAAGGGAGGTTCCAAGCAAAAGACCTGTTCAAATGTGATTTTTCCATGTCCTAATCAGCTATGTTTGTTAAATTGAGCTGTGCCTGGTTTGTAGTACTATTTAACTGGATACCTCAGTGGAAGTTTTAAAAACTTAGATTTTGTCATCCCAGTGGATTGAGAACAGCTACTGAAGTCAAGAGAGCTGTTTGCATGTGTATTTTTACTGGTGGGATAGATTAATTAAACCTGTGGGGCTTGAAATGGACTGAAAGTGTTGCGTAAACGTGTGTACTCTTCTTAGGCCTTGACAGGCCCTCTGAGGTCTGTCATATTTTCTTTCTTCATAGTTTTAAACCCAGTCACTGAGCTTACAGCAGCATCTTGAAATTAGAAGTGGTGAAAGCGCAGCATGAAATTGTAAATATTTAGGACTGAGAAGAGCCCACAGAAGAAGGCGTGTTTGTTAGAAGGCATCTGAAGAACTTCAGATATGTACATGTGGCTTAGTAATCTCCTTACATTTACCAGGGCCTCAGGCATCAGCAGGCTGTTATCAAAGGACAATAAATTCTCCTTAATACAAAGTTTCTACAGTATCAGATACCCTGCTTTAATAGCTGTTGTCTCTGCAGATTTTCCCTGCCTGGCTTAGAAAAACACTATACTAGCAACCAGGCTGCTGATGGGTTAAGTCAAGTGACCTGGCCTATTGCAAGCCACAAAGCCATTAATATCTGGGACTTGTCAGTAGCAGTCTACTGGCATAAATGGATATGCTTAGAAAGTAAACATGCAGGAGTAGAGGTTATGGGTGTGTTAGAGGGTTCTGCACAGCGGATACACCACAGCTTAGGGGACGGGGACTGTAACAACTCAAAGAAAGTGGCTGAGGATAAAGATTTAACAGGCAGAAGGGCTGCCCTGATCCTAGGGGGAGGTAAGGGATGTGGGCAGGAGGAGGCCAGCACCTTCCTTTGCTTGTTGTGCCAGTCACCGGTGACTGAAGGTCAGCACTGCATTTGGATGCACAGCTGGCATGTAGGTCCCACTGATAGATGCATTGAGGCAACATTAGGGCAGATAACTGGACGTGTACAAGTTGCAGACATGGAGAAGAATCTGATCAACATCTCTTGAGATATTACAAATTCGTGTCACTAAATAAATCTACATGAACAGCATGTGCATGTTTCTTTTCCTTAGCTACTGGTTACTGGAATATTTTTCATTTTATGAGATTTTGAATGTTACATTTTATAGTAGCTGTGGGGAAGTTGTCCCAGCAGAGGCACAATATTGGAAATATATTGTCTCCAAGGGGCATCTTACAATAGGCATCTGCTACCTACCTCCAAACCAAGACAATAAGGCCAACGAAGCTGTATTTTGGTTACTTAAGCAAGCTTCAGGTCAACAGAGCCTGGTTCTTGTGGGGGAGTTCAGCTACTCAGACATTTGTTGAAATAATGCGACTCACATTCATCAAGTTCCTGGACTGCTTAGAGGACAGCTTCTTCATACAGATGTTAGATGACATTGGTCAAACCAGGAATGAGGCACAGCTGAACTGCATGCTACTCACAAACCAAGAAGACTTGCTTTATAATATGTCAGTGATGGCCTTGGCTGCAGCGATCACTATATTGCAGAGTTTGTGATCAGTCGAGCATACTGAAGTTTAGCACTAAGACAAAGGTTTTAGATTTTATAACTGCAAACTTAAACTCACTCAGAGTTCTGTTGGGAGGGATTCCAGGGAAGCTTCCATGAAGGATAAAGGAGCTAACGAGTGCTGTGAGATTTTCAAGAGCACTCCCTTGGAAGCACAGAACCAATTAATTGCATTTGAAGGTAAGGGAAGTAGACAGAGCAAGAGACCCCCTTGTCTAAACTGTGAACTTTGGAGTCTGCTCAAACACAGAAGATAAATATACCAGAGATGGAAAAGCAGATGAATACCTGTTGAGGACTTCAAGGGCCTTGCCAGGGTGTGCAGACACAGAAAAGCAAAAGCTCAGCTCGAATTTCAATTGGCCAGAGATGTCAAAAGTACAAGAAGGAGTTCTTCAGGTATGTGAACAACAAGCAGGAACAGAAGAAAAATATGGGCCCGCTGATAAGCAGCATAGGGGAATAAGTCACCAATAACACTGAAAAGGCAGAGGTTCTCTTCACTTTCTTCCCCTCTGTCTTTACCAGCACTTTTAGGCTTCAGGCCTTCGGAACAAAAATCCAGGTTGATGCAAACACAGACCAACCATCAATGAAGGAAGAGTTGGTACGTGAACTGTTACAGAGGCTTGACCCCTGCTAATCAGTGGGCCCTGACAATATCCACTCAAGGGTATTAAGAGAGCTGGCTGACGTCATTGCACGGTCACTCTCCATAATCTTATGAGAAGTCTTGGGTATATGACATGTCCCAGAAGACTGGGAGAAGGAAAATATCATCTCCATCTACCAGAATAGCTTAAAGGAGCCACACATGGGTGTTACTTCAGTCCCCAGGAAACTTAACAAATCTTCCTGGGGCCTATCACAAGTCAAGTTAAGCACAGATTCACCAAGGGCAAATTGTGTTTGACAAACCTGATCACCTCTACAACAAAGTAACATGCTTGGTTGAGGTGGGGTGAATGGTGGACATTGTCCTGAATTTCTCAGAGGTTTTCAGTATGTTTTCCCACAGCCTCCTCATAGAAAAACTGACACGTCACAGCCCAGACAAGTGGTCTGTGTGGTGGCTGCACCCAGAGGGTGGTGGTGAACAGCCCCTTTTCCAGCTGAGACCTGTCACTAGTTTTGGTTCCCACTATAGAAAAAAGATGTGGACAGGCTGCAAAGGGTCAGAGAAGGGACAGAAAGCTTCAAGACACAGAATCATTAGGGTTGGAAGGGACCTCTGGAGATCATCTAGTCCAACCCCCAGTGATCAAAGGACTGGGCAGCCTTCCATGTAAGGAAAGGCTAAGAGAGATGGGTTTGTTCAGCCATAAGAAAAGAAGGCCCGGAGGAGACCTGTTAGAGAGCAGTGTAGGGGAGAGGGACCTGGGGGTCCTAGTGGACAACAGGGTGACCATGAGCCGACACTGTGCCCTTGTGGCCAAGAAGGCCAATGGCATCCTGGGGTGTATTAGAAGGGGGGTGGTTAGTAGGTCGAGAGAGGTCCTCTGTCCCCTCTACTCTGCCCTGGTGAGACTGCATCTGGAATATTGTGTCCAGTTCTGGGCCCCTCAGTTTAAGAAGGACAGGGACCTGCTGGAGAGAGTCCAGTGCAGGGCAACTAAGATGATTAAGGAAGTGGAGCATCTCCCTTATGAGGAAAGACTGAGGGAGCTGGGTCTCTATAGTTTGGAAAAGAGGAGACTGAGGGGTGACCTTATTAGTGTATATAAATATATAAAGGGGGAGTGTCACGAGGATGGAGCCAGGCTCTTCTCAGTGGCAAACAATGATAGGACAAGGGGCAATGGGTACAAACTGGAACACAAGAGGTTCCACTTAAACCTGAGAAGAAACTTCTTCTCAGTGAGGGTGACAGAACACTGGAACAGGCTGCCCAGGGAGTTTGTGGAGTCTCCTTCTCTGGAGACATTCAAAACCCACCTGAACACGTTCCTGTGTAACCTTATCTAGGTGTTCCTGCTCCGGCAGGGGGATTGGAGTAGATGGTCTTTTGAGGTCCCTTCCAATCTCTAACATACTGTGATACTGTGATACTGTGACCTTCTCACTATGTTCCGGTACTTAGAGCATGGCTACAAAGAAGATGGAGACTCCCATTTTACAAGGAGTCATATGAAAAAACAAGGGATAATGGGCACAAGTTACTGCTGGGGAGATTCTAACTGGACACAAGAAAAATTGTTCACAATGAGAACATTCATCCATTGGAATAATCTCTCAAGGGAAGTGGTGGATTTCCTAATGTTGAACACTTTTAAGATTCAACTGGACAGGGTGCTGGGCTTGTGTCTTTCTTATGTTCTTGCCAAGAAAGGTTGGACCAGATGATCCTTGAGGTCCTTTCCAACCTGCTATACTAAGGTTCCATGGTTCTATTATGTGATTCAATATTCAGTTGTACTTTGGGTTTGGGGCACATTCTGCATTTTCCCATAACATTCTGATTGTTGTTTGCAGAAAAACTCCTGCATATTGCCAGAGGATTTAAAGAACTTCTATCTAATGACCGATGGCTTTCAGATGACCTGGAGTGTGAAGACCGATGGCAAGTCAATGTACCATGCACCAATACCCTCATTGCACTGCAGCCAGTCTTTCCCTTGCAGGATCTCTTTAATTTCATACTTACTTTTTGCACAGTCAGTACACATCTGTCAGCATCCTGCCATAGTCTGAGCAAAAGCACATGTGCCAAGTAATTTTGAATGAAAAAATAGCACCATTCCTTAACTTTCAAAACCAGGAAAAAAAACAAGAAGTAGTTTGTTTCTGCTAGGCAGCTTCATCAGTGACTACAGAAAACTGACCTCTGAATTAGTAAGTGGGTGTAGTCCTGTGTGGGATAGTAGACTATATTAAAGATGTGAGGAAAAAATTATGCCTGCAGATCAAGGATTCCTTCCTGGTGCAAAAGGAAACATGTTGCTTACGTGTGCTGGACTTGCACAGAAGAGACATGTACCCTGAACACTGGCTAGAAACCAAACAAATAAATACCTTTCTTTAATAAACTGGCCAGCTATTGACACTCAGATTTAGGTATCTAGTTTATATCTCATACCTACACTACCTCTATAGTTCTTGGAGAGAGAAGCAGCTCTAGCACATTATCCTATCAAAAAGCAATAGGAAGAGTTACCCTCTGATAATGCCTCTTTCCCATTAAAACATATATGTGTATGCTACAGCATGATTCTGCTTTCCGCCAGCTCAAGCCCATTCACTGGAGCAATTTCTAGAGTCTGTGGTGGAACTGAGTACAGGATCAAGCTTTATTGTCCATCCTCATTTGGCAAGAATTAGGCAGTTTCTCCTCTGGAGGCCTGCAACTTATCCTACCTCTCGTTGCCTTCAAGTGAGGTTGTAAAATTGGGCTGTGGACACTGCTTACTTCCACAAATGGGTGTGAAATACAGGGTTTTTCCTCAGGAAGTGAAATTTCATTTCAAGAAACAAGCTGAAATCAGGGCTCTGGCACCTGCACTGAGTCCCATCATGTTTCAAGTGGCATTTAGTGTGTTGTGACTTTGAAGACTCTTGTTTTCAGGGCACACAACTACAAAGAGACCAATGCAGCTCACATGACTGCCTTGTTTGAGCAAGCATCCAGTAGCACTTCACAGAGGCCTTTCACACTGGCATGTGGTGGAACAGGGTGGTCAGTGTCTAGTAACAGTACTAATCCTCAATAGAGACAAGTGATAAGCATTCATTCAGGAGCACCCACATGTTGGCAACACAGTTGGAGTGGGAAATAAGGGAATGCACCCTGAGCAGGTATATGGGGTGGAAGAGGATGAGCTACCCAATAAGCTATGAATGGGTGGAGTGGTTTCTGGTAGGAAGGACAGCAACAAGAAAGAGTTTTGAGGAGGTGATTGTAGCTAGCAGGATTTTTAATAGCCAGTTTCACGGGACTAGGCTAACAGCTGCAGCAGAGGCTTAGCCAGCAGCATAATTCTTGTACCTGCACAGCTCTGAGATGGTGTCACATCACCTGTAAGTGTGATTCTATGTTTGAAAAAGCCTAATATTTGTTCCTCTGGAGCCTGACTTGGTTAAGTGTCCAGCCCTGCTGGGTATTCTCACCTCTTGTCCCCATCTTTGTTTTAGAAGGGGTTGAGTTGATGCATGGAGGAAAAGAAATACCTCCTGACACTATATGTGATTAATGGTCAGTCTTATTGCAGATACACCAATGCCGCTGGGCTCCATGGTGATTAATAGTGTCTCGAAGCTATGTCGGCTTGGAGGTTCCTCTATGTACACTCTGCCTAATGCACCAACTCTTGCTGACCTGGAAGATGACACAGGCGAGGAAGGTAACATCCTATTAACAGGTAGAAAATGTTCTCTGTCTCATTGCTTTTGCTCTGTTAGGATGATGTTAGGATATAGTACATGGATATAGCAACAGCAAAGGTCATTCCCAAGTAGATGGGGTTTCCTTTGTCTCCCGAGCTGGACCTACTATATATTCCTATTAGTCCTCTATGGCCTTTAGAGGTAGGTCTGTATGCTGAAAATCTCATGAGGATTGTTAATGCTGCCAATTGCCAGTATTACTTGCATCCTCTTTTTGACAGTGTGGCAGGCTCCTATTCTGCCTTTTACCTATTTATTTTTTTAACTGAGGCTTCCTCCAGTGATTCACCTTCTAAAGTCTTTGTGTCCTTTTAGTGTCACATGAACAAAAGGTAAGAGTTTATGTCTTGGTAATAAAAAGGCAGCAGGATGTGCTCTTTGGAATTGGAAAAGTAGCTCTGGTTAATACATCTAAGTGTGAGGTGACACTGGAAAATCTGTGTTTCCAGACCACCTAAAAATGCTGGGCATACTGCAGTTTGGAGAGAAAAAGAAAGGCCCACTCCTTTTCTTAGACTTCTTACAGTCTAACAAGACTGGAAGAATAAAGAAGGTGAGAACAGAGGCAGGTGTCATGCTGACTCCTTAAAAAATAGCTATTTGATTTAAGTCTTGTCTCTGAATCTCTATAGCTCTTGTAGTTGCTAAATATGGCTGGAAGATTCTTTTTGCACATTCCAGCTTGGCTGCAGTCATGATCTTCTAGCCGTTGTAATGAAATGGGCCAAATTCTGCTTCCATTTAGCCACTCAAACTTCCACTGATGCACTTATAAGGTACACTGAGAAAAAGTTACATCCCCACAAGAGATCTTATCCTGACTTCCACGGGAAATTCTTCTGAAGAGTACAGCTCTTATGTCTCGAGCAGCTTTAAAATTCAAACTGATGTCCTGCAAGAACTTGCAGCTACACATCCCAGAATGGTCCTGTAGAAATACTCTGTGGTGCTTGTGGGTTGCGAGTTGAATATGAGTCAGACCATGTGGCTTTTGAGGACACTGATGTCACACTGGAATGTATGAAGAAATGTATTTGTTTCCAAGATCATCAAAGATTTCTGTCAGAGAAAAAGAATAAACTGTTCTCCCTGTCCTCCTTAGAAAATAACAAAGTAGGGCAAGAAAGGGAGGGGGGATAGGACACAGATAATGGACTTCAGCTGCAGCAAAGATTTAGGATCCACCTGAGGAACACTTCTAACAGATAACAATGGATTTGAGTTGACTGTCAGGAGACTGTGGCATCTCCAACACTGGAGAACTGTAAGAAAAGAGTAAGCAAACACCTCTCAGGAGTGACATCTGTAAAGCTGATCTTTCTTTATGCCAGGGAAGGACTAGAGAACAGCTTGATACCTTTTTTCAGTCAACTGATTTTGACTCTGATTTGTTTTCCTACCAGAGATTAACATTTTTCTCACTTTTTGTTTAGTTCTTTTATTTTTTCAACACAGGGAACTTAGTCAAGAAGTATAAATATAGATTTAGTTGTTCCTTGGCTGATTTATTAATAAATATCAAATAAATTGCCTTTTGGCAGCTGAGTCACAGTCAGTTTTCCAAATATGTTTCATCAAGTGTTTTTCCTATTTTCAGGCCATGGAGACAAACCAGAGAAGCCACACTTTGATTCTCGTAGTCTCATCTTTGAATTAGACCCATGCAATGGGAACGGGAAAGTTTGTCTTGTTTATAAGCATGCTAAACCAGGTAAGACTGAAAAGAGCAAAGTTAGCCATCTTTCATTGTGGATTGTATCTGCAGGCCACATGTGTAAAATCATCTTGTACTTCTGATCATCTTTGCAATTTGTAGATGAACATTTACTGGGATGTCCTGTCTCCATTGAAGTCAGGGGCTAAACCTCATAGAGACTTTACTAGAGCTAATGTTTTCCCCCCTTTTAATGTTGGAGCCTGAGTCATGATTTCTGCATACATACAAACAAGAAAGCATTCACATATGACCTACAGACAACCATGTTGAAATGATACAGAGCACCACTAACGTATCTCTGGTTACTTACATGTCTGTGAACAATTCCCTTACATTTTGATGACAAAGCCTGGAGCTGTTCTTAGAAGCAAATCTCTGAGATGCTAAAAAAGGTCTTGACTGAGACAGCCTTAGACTAGTTCTTCCACCCTGTGCATGGATACAGAGCCTCCAGATGCTAACTAGGTCAAAATTTGGTAGTAAGGGTTGAACAGCAGGATGGAAGATGTGAGCTGGGCTGTTTCTTCTGATAGATACGGAGAAAACCCCTTAGCAACAATTACTGAAACACCTGAGGCACTGGTAAAGCAGTTATCAGACACAATGCAGAGGTCACTAGGTGTACATGCATACGTGTGTGTTTACTGTGTAGGGGTGTGCAATTGTTATATATCTGTCCTTAACAAAACTCTGTGGTTGTTATCTCGTGTGATCATTGGGTGTGACTGCAGCTCCCAAGGCAGAAACTTACCTGACCTCTTTCCTTGCAGCATTAGTGATTTCAGCATATGCAGTGGGTAACCTGGGCAAGGGAAGGGAGTGTTGTTTCCCAGTGTTGCTGTCAGCGCAGGGGGCAGTGTGTTTAATTAGCAGTGTTCAGCATCTCAATTTCACAAGTAAAATCACGTCTTTTTATGTTACAAAGGATGTAGCCACCAGAGAAATACTTGATCACTGTGGAAAGGTTTTGCAAAATGTATTTTTGTTGGCAGCACACAGTTCTAAGACTTCCAGACTCTGAACTTTATTTAGTAATCCAAATGACTGACAATTGAGTTAGTTGTTTTTACTTTGTGGAGCAGATAAATGTTTGCCATAATTGTACTTTGAACTTAACACTAGAAAGTTGCTGATGTCCAAGCATATTCCATGCAGTGTACCAGCCCCAGATTGGTAAGGAACAGCACTGCATCCATTGTATGGTGGGGAAAGTCAGTGTAATGGCTGTTGCACAAGAATTTTTGGTAAAGCTGGGAGCAGAGCTACATCTTTTTCAGTCCCCGTGCTCTAACCATTAAGCCACATTCCTCTGGATAACCATCTGTGTTAGTCAGGGATGCTGCATTTTAGAAGCTTTCTGATATGTATGTTGTGTCTCCCACCTGACAATGGCCCACGGTTGGTCTTAGCCCTGCAAAGCAACAGTGTAATATGTGTTTGCGTTGTTCTAGTTGTCTCCTCAGACACAGAGATATGGTTCCTGGACAGAGCTCTATATTGGCACTTCCTCACCAAAACCTTCACAGCCTACTACCGCCTGCTCATTACTCACCTGGGTCTTCCACAGTGGCAGTACGCCTTCACCAGCTATGGGGTCAGCCCACAGGCCAAGGTAGGACAGCAGGATCCAGCTCATCAATATTTTGCGTAAGCATAGATATAAAAACATGTTCCCACCTTTTGACAAGCAGTCTGTAGGCTTGAGTGGGCCTCCTTAATGAGCTATGGTAGGGGCCATGAGTCTTTCATATCCTGTAGCACATTAGCAGTCACTCATTTATATTAGTAAATTCAATCACATTTTGTGTTAACCCTGCTTTCTTCACCTGAGTTGGACTCTACCTTTGACCTTTCATAGCAGGTAGTGAAACTCCAATTATTTCTTTGCTTTCTTGACTTTGAAACAAGCATTCACTTCCGTGACTGCTGGAAAATGAGGAGATGCAAAGCCATTCATCCCCACAGCTATGTAAGATTGTCTCTGGGCATAGCACTGAGGAAGAGCCTGCTGCTCTCTGGGTGAAGAGGAAAGCCCAGGTATAAATTAGATAGGAGCCCAGAGAAGACTATGAGCTTGAGCCTTGCCAAGAATACCAATTCCTTTGCGTCCTCCTCAGTCATGAAGGGATGCCTTGATAAAAATGATGCCAAAAAAAGGGGTAATTTAAATGCCAGCAGTCCTAGAAGTAGTTGTAGGAGAGATTCAGGTACAGCCTTGTGACCATTCCAGGCCTTTATTATTATTAAAATTGCTATTCTGCTCTGCCAGGACCCTGCTATTAGAAGCACCTGCCATTCCTCAGTGTCTGACTGGGCCCTAAGCCTGTCAAACCCTGATTCCACCTTGTGAGAGGTTGAGGAATGGAACTGATAATACTTCTGAACACAGCACATAAGTGAATACAATGTCTCTGCATGGTGGCAAGCCCAGGCAGGTCTTGGTGGGTGTCCTGCACTTCCTCCAGACATGCCAGCTGTCTTATCAGCATGACATTCCTTGGTCCTGCCTTGATCTCTCTGTGCATCAGAACTACTCACTAAAATCACTGCCAACTTTCCATCAGTGGCTGCAGAATTTTGTTCTTTGTATTTCTAGTGTCTTCCCTGTTAATACTGTGCTCTGCTTTGTCGGTGGAGGCTGTGTGCGGGGTCCTCTTAACATATGTCTGTGCTCTGCCTTTCTCTAACTTTCCTACTAGAATATTTTGTTGTGTTCAGTATATTCACAAACCTTAGTGAAATCATTCATGTATTCCCTAATCATTTGCAGCCTCTGCTGGTTAAAATCCTCCTAGTGTGTTAACCATTATCATTTTTAAAGGTCTTCAAGGGTGGCATATTAAAGCTGTTTTCCATTAAGCAGTACATGAAGAGATTGCCATCTACATTTTCATATTGATCTTTTGTTCATCTTGTTCAACATTTTGCTCACGGTTTCGGTGGGATTTGTAATACCATAATGCCCACAGTTTCATTTCCTGACTTTGTCAATGGAAAACTGATAGGAAAAACATCAAAGATGAGGACTGTGGCATCTGGGAACCAAAAAAAAAAAAAGACTTGTTGGATCACTTCTAGATGTGAAATCTAACTGAAGAGAAGCAAACACAAAATTCTTTGTGTAAAGAGTTAAAAATCCTGCATTATTGCATATGTGAAGAGAGAGAGGGAGCCTGTATCTTGAGAGTTCTACTAGTTTGGTTCCAATTTATAAGTACGTTTAAATTCCAAGGATTTTAAATCTTTTCTGCTTGTCTGAATCTAAGTAAGTGTGATTTAGTTTCAACCCCTCCCTTTGCTTTTCCTCCTGTGGTTTAAATCAAGAGTTGCTCTTGATAGGAGTTACACTGCAGGAAAGGTAGTTTTAGGTTTATGTCTGGTTCTCCTCTTCCATGTCTGGAATGCGGGGCAGTTCCAGGACTGTAGCTGTGCCTTGTGTATCCTTATCAAAAGGCACTCTTTGCAGTCCTGTGAATTGCAAACTGATAAGTGGTGTATGATCAAAATCAAGTCTCAGGAGGGAGGGCAAACAGGGTGTAAATGTCTAAGTGCAGTTTGATTTTAACCTCTTCCTTCCCCACCATCCTGCCTTTCAGCAATGGTTTAACATGTATAAACCCATAACCATCAACATGTCTCTCTCTGAAGAAGCTGATTTCTTCGTGAACAAATTGGACCCCAATAAAGTATTTAAAAGCAAGAACAAAACACCAGTGATCAAAAAGAAACAACTTTCTCAGCCATCAGGCTCCCAAAAGAGTCACACGAGCATGACCTCCTCCAAGACATCCTCGCTAGCTGGGAATTCTTCAAGGAAGTGAGACCCCCAGATCTGACCATGAACAGTATTTTCAACAAGCTTTGATGTTCTCTGATGCAGAGTCAGTGGTTCATATGGAGTTCCTTGTGCATTAATAGATGTGCCCATGGAAAACACGTTGCAGCATTTGCATGAAATAAAGCCACAATGTACTTTGACATGGGAGGGATGTAGTTCCTTGAGACTGGGAGAAAAAAACCTGAGACACTGATTTAATTTCCTTCTGCTACTTGCAGCATGTACTTTCCAGGGGGCATGAAGAAGCCGCTGATGTCACTGCTGTATTGGGAAGCTTTTGTTCTTAAACAACTACGGCAGTGAAATGAAAGCAGGTGTAAGTCACCATTATTTTAATAGACCTATGCTGAAATACAGCGTATGAAGATATTTTCTGCCGTCTCCTTTGAAAGAAACCTGTCCTGACCTTGCATGCTATGGATTAGGCTGGAACCCACTGAACAAAGAAATATCTTCTGCTTCTAACAGAATCAAACTCTGCACTTCCCCATGCTCCTTCCAATTTCTGCCCTCAGAGTCATGGTTCAAAGAGACCTTGGGCTTCCATGTCTCTGCACTGGCCTAGTTGCTTGCTCTACAGCCCAGACACTTAGAATCATAGAATCAACTAGGTTGGAAAGGACTTTTAAAATCAAGTCCAACCATTACTTCAGGACTGCTAAGACCACCTCTAAACCATGTCACTGAGGGTCTCATCTGCATGGTTTTTGAACACTTTCAGGAATGGTGACTCCACCACTGCCCTGTGCAGCCTGTTCCACTGCCTGAGTACCCTCTTGGTGAAGAAATTGTTCCTAATATCCAATCCAAACCTTCCCTGGCACATCTTGAGGCTGTTTTGTCTTGTTCTATCACTTATTACCTAGGAGAAGAGATTGATGTCCCCCTCACTCCATCCTCCTGTCAGGCAGTTGTAGAGAGCAGTAACATCCTCCTGAGCCTCCTCTTCTCCGGACTAAACCCCCCAGGTCTCTCAGCTGTTCCCCATCACATCTGTGCTCCAGACCCTTCACCAGCTCCATTGCCCTTCCCTGGCCCCGCTCCAGCACCTCTATGTCTCTCCTGTAGTGAGGGTCCCAGGACTGAACACAGGATTCGAGGTGCATCCTCATCAGTGCCCAGTACAGGGGTATGATCGCTGCCCTGGCCCTGCTGCCACACTATTGCTGGTACAGGCCAGGATGCTGTTGGCTTCTTGGCTGTCTGAGCACAAGCTGCTCATCTTCAGCTCTATCCATTAGCAGCCTGAGGTTCTTTTACACTGAGCAGCTTTCCAGTCACTCTGCCACAAGCCTGGGGCAGCACATGGGGTTGTTGTGGCCCAAGTGCATGGGCCAGCACTTTGCCTTGTTGAATCTCATACCATTGACCACAGCCCATGGATCTGGCCTGTTCAGATCCCTGTGCAGAGCATCCTATCCTGCAGCAGATCAACACTCTCACCCAAGTTGGTGTCATCTGGAAGTTTACTGAGGGTGCACTCAATCCCCTCATCCAGATCATCAATGAAGATATTAAACAACACTGGCCCTAACACTGAGCCCTGAGGGACACCACTAGTGAGCAGTTACCAACTACGTGTGACACCATTTACCACAATTCTTTTGGGCTCAGCCATCCAGCAAGTTTCCAAACCAGCAAAGAATTCACCTATCCAGGCCATGAGCAGGCAGTTTCTCTTGCTGTGTCAGACAGTGTTGAATGCTTTACTAAATCCAACTTGACAATGTCCCCAGCCTTTGCCTCATCAACCAGGCTGGTCACCTTATTGTGGAAGGAGATCAGGTTGGTCAAGCAGGACCTGCCCTTCGTTAGCCCATGCTGACTGGGCCTGCTTGCTCCATTTTGCTGCACGTGCTTTATGATCTCACTTAGGATCATCTGCTCTGTGACCTTCCCTGGTACTGAGCTCAGGCTGACATACCTGGAATTTCCAGGGTCTTCTGTCCTGCTCTTTTTGTAGAGAGGTGTCACGTTGGCCAGCCTCCAAACCTCTGGGACCTGCCCAGAGGACTGCTAGAGACCAGACTGCTAGACTAGACCAGGACTGCTGATACGTGATGGAGAGTGGCTTGGCAAACTCCTCTGCCAGCTGCTTCATCATTCTTGGGTGTCACCCGTCCGGCCCCATAGACATGTACATCTAAGTGGAACAGGAGATTGCTAACCATTTCTTCCTGAATTATGGGGACTTCAATCAGCTCCTCATCTCTGACATCCAACTCAGGGATCTGAGTACCTTGAGGGTGACTGGTGTGACTACTAAAGGCTGATGCAAAGGCAGCATTTCCTTTTTGGAAATGCTTTTCCTTTTTGACCTTTGTGCCGTGTCTTTTCAGATAGTCGAGTCTGTGTGATGTCCTTCCCAGTACGCCCTAAGGTAGCCAGAAGCTGCAAGGTCCCTCACTGCCTCTGATTTCTCCTCCTGCAGGAATTGCTGAAACACTGGGTCAGTGATGTTGAGAGTCCCATAAGCCAGGAGGACCCCTTGGTTTGTCATGCATTCATTTGCAAAGTTGACCATTCAAACAGCCTTTGTCACTTTTCAACTAGGCAGGATCTGACCTGGGCACACTGAGATCCTACAGCCTTAGAAGCTCCTGATGCTGTTTTAATAGTCTAAGTTGTCAGGTTAGAACCGCACTTTAACCCATCCAGTGCTGGTTTTTATTTACACCTGAAGGTTTCCATTACTTTTCTGTGCTATTCTGTCTTCTTAGGTGTGCTGGAAACACATGGTAGCCACCCACACATTTTGTGCCTAATTAGGGAAATCAAAGTCACCATCTTCAAGTAAGCATCAATTATTTAAACAATATCATCTTTTATTTGTGAAAGTCACATAATTACATAATACAAACCTACCTCACAGGGGTGTTGTGATGCTTTCACAAGTATTTGTATGGCCTTCAGAAAGAGGAAGCTTGTAAGTGCTTAGTAGTATTTTAATAAAGAATTTAATATTTTCCTCCAGAGTGACTGGGTATTTAAAGTTGCTTTGGGGAGCACATGTACAAGGATGTATGGTAAAAGCAGGGCACAAGCTGGATTGGTTTGTTGGGTTTTTTCTAATGCAGTGGACAATCTCACTAAGAAGGGATGGACTACAGTGTCTTTTAGCTAATCCCATTGTGAGCTACTGTGAAGTTCCCAGTTTAGTTCACATAGACCAAAAGACTCAGCTGTTTGACAGCTGTTCAGCACACCTCTGTCCTGTGCTCAGTGTTCGAAGTCTCTGCAGCAGTCAGCCCCAGCTCTGGCATGCTTTGATTGGTTTCCAGCACTGTCCAAGTGCAGTTTCTGTTGCTGAGGGCTGCCCTCTGCCACCCCCAGGTGAGAGGAAATCTTCTAATGCTCCTCAGCCCTCTGAAGCTGACATGCACCTTGTGCCAGGTAAAGATCTGTTGTAGCTGCTCCACTAACATAAGGTCAGCTCAAAAAGGAAGCAGAGATGTCAGTACCTATCACCCCACCCCACGCCACATTAGTGGTCCTTTTAATAGGATTGTAAAATACCAGGTTGGAAAGGACCTCAAGGATCATCTGGTCCAACCTATTATAGTCTATCTTATTATAGACCTATTATAGTCTATCTTATTATAGACCTATCTGGTCCTACTATATTAGTAGTGAGATGTGAATGATCATTAAAGCCAGTAAATGCCATTTTCTGGAATTCTGTGCAGTAGTGATGTTCTGTCACTTCCTGCTTATGGAGATCACCATATTGTGTGTACATGGCACCCCAGGACTGCAGTCATGTGCTTGACATGCATACCATACTTGCTTAAGCATTGCCTAGGAAAGTTAAGACTCTTGTTACCCCACTGGTGACAGTAAGCTTCTGATACTATTTTACTTTTATTCTGATACCTCAGTTGTGGAAGGCTCTTGCAGGTCCACTTCCGTATTCAGATGGAGGTGGCAGAATTCCTTCAGGAACAGGGCCTTCTTCCCACATTTCTTATGCATTCAGAGTGGGGAAAAGGGCTTCAATTTGGTTTTTTGTTTAATTGAGCATTTGAGTCTCAATCCTTTTATGGTGGTAGTTAAACTCCAGCCTGCTGGTAGCACACATGGGTCCATGACACCAACATGTTCCCGTAGAGCGGTGCCAGAAATCAGGAAACGTTGTGGTTTAGTTTACTGATTTTTTGGTGCTTCCTGAATGTTCAGATCAAAAAGGAAAAATCAAAAACAAGCACCAAAAAAAAAAAAATCAGGTTCAATTCTGTATTTCAGACTATCCTTGCTCTTTGTTCTCTGCCAAAACAGGTGTTTGTTAGGGTTTATCAAATGGAAGCAAGCTTAAGCCCCTGATCCATCAGTATTTACCTCTTACCAAAGAATATTCCAGATGAAAATTTCTTTAAGTTAATTAAGCTGTTTCTGCTGCTTTTATGTAATGTATTTTTGACCTACTGGAAAGTGTCACTGCCCATGGCCAGGGGTTGGAACTAGATGATCTTTAAGGTCCCTTCCAACCCAAAACATTCTATGATTCTATGAATGCATAGGTATCTGGAGTCTTGCAGCACTGCTTTGCTTTTCTCCAGAATGTGATGATTTTATCTTTGGTAGATGTTTATACAGGGAGACTGAATAATTTGTTCAGGTCACAAAGAGGTCTAGCCCTGCCCAGGTCTGCCCAGTGTTAAGAGACCCGGTTTGTCTGCTCAGGCAGAGTTTATTGAAGACCAGTCCCACATTTCTCCACCAGCAGGGTGAAGAACTGGTGTGCTCCGGCACCATTACTGCACATGCCCTTACCCACTTGTTTACCCTTTGACTGTCCATACATCCACATAGGCTTTGATGTCAAGGCCTTTCCTTGGAGCATGTGGCCATCACAGTGTAGAAACTTCCACCGCTCTCTGTCCTTTCTCATTCCCACATTCCGTGACAGGTGGGTTGTGAAAATCAATGAAGATTTTGTGGATGAAAACACCAATCAGGCTTCCCAGAATTGGTGCTGTGACTGGGACCCACCACCAGTGGTGTCCAGCCCTAAAATGAAACAGAGGAGAGGCAGCCAGTGAGCCAGATTGGAACCACTGCCCTGCCGCTGAATGGCTGCAAGAGCAGGAGTGAGCTGTGTGAGATGAGGTATCTAGTCCCACTTCACATACTGGGCCTTACAGCTGGCTTAGACACATTTCCTACCCACCAGCATAACTGCTGGAGGGAGGGTCATTTTCCTTGTCAACCTTGGAAGGTGTTGCTGCACTGTCTGCAGGTTTCTTGCTGCCCTACAGAAATGGTCTGTGTGATCCTGATGAGCATGACTATCAGACAGAGACACACACACACCTCTTTTGCCTCTCCATTTCCAGTAACACTGATGCCTCCTTTACCAAGCTCTCACTTATTTTCTGGAAATTTAATTAAACTAATGGGCAGGAGAGTCTGCTAATGCCCTCAACCACAGGAAAAGCCATAGCATGGCACCACTGCTAAGCAGGGGAAGGCGGGATTTCATATCCAGACATCTAAATTTAAGAGTATACAGTAATCCATCTATAAGTACCTGCTTTCATGTGAGCTGAATCAGTCTCTGACTTTCCATTCACTGTGATATAACCACCTAGACCTCCAGCTAAGAGGTGGCCAGTTTGCTGCCCAAATTGAGGTGTCCAGATTTCAAGGTGAATCCCATGCTGGAGAATTAGTGTGCCCCAGTTTTTGTGCCCATAATGCACCAGCCTACTCTGTGCACAACTTTTGCTGTCTGAGAATGTAGGATGTGCTTTGCACTGATACCGTCATCACTTGACCCAGAGAAAAAGTCTTTGTGGCCATTCTATCTTGGGCTTATCTGCTGTCATTGCAAGCTGAGCAGTGTAAAAGCAAAGAGGGTCACTCACGTGAAGACATCGGTTCCCCAACCAGCAATTGCCGTGAAGATCCTAGGGGGCAGGTCTCGGGAGGGGTTTATGGCATAACCTGTGTTCATCCCCATCCCCATGCCAATGCCCAGGACAAGGATACCCGTGAGCAGGGCCTCCGTGCCTCTCAGGGCCCTGTTGTTTTTCTCATCATGAATGATCAGAATGCCCAGGTGCAGCATTGCTGTTGCTAGAAACTGCAGGAGCACAAAAGGGACAAGAAGTCAGGAGGGAGAATGGGGAATGCAGAAGGATCATCCTCGGCAGAGAGGAAGAGACTTCACAGATTGGAAGAGCAGGTAACATTCATGCTCTGATCAAGGCAGGGAGGACCTTGTTCTTATTCCCACCTCCCAGGTGGATGGAAGAAAATTCTTGACTCATTTCCCAGCAGCAATACCTCCACCTCATCACCAGAAATGCCCTAGGACTGATACAAACTTCTCAGCACTGTCCTCTCCCTCCACCTTTCAAGTTAGAGACACATGTTATAGTAAGTACATTTCATCTGACAGAGGCAGACCCATAACAGACTGCTAAGAAGACAGATCTGTTCCTCCTTAGAGGGAGTGATGTTTTATATAGCCTGTTGCATCAGCCCTTTCAGGACTAGAAGCAGATACTAGATTCTCCTCTGGGACACTGAATTGCCCTTTTGTGACAGTACATAGCTAGAAGTTGTAGATCATGTAATGCCCAAGATGTCAGGAACCGTTGTTTGAATACAGGTGATTCCTGTCTTTTTCTGCTTCAGAACATGCAGCTGGAGAGCCTGGGACTGCTTGCAGAGTTGCCAGCAAAAGTAGAAACTCTGCAGCTCTTGACTGTCACTGTCATTTGCTTTCTTGTGTAGCAAGGACACTGCATGCTCTATGGGAGGCTGAGTCATCAAGTCCCCACCTGCAGGCTATCCAGCTCTCACTGCCATCCTCATCATACCCAGCAACAATTTTGTCAGAGACAAGTACAGGCTTCCTTAGATTTGAACTGGGAGTGAATCTTCCTTCTCCAGTGCTCCATGTCCACTGAAGCATCCCCTTCCTATTTCTGGGCATCTGGACATTGTGTTGTGTGCTGGGAATCAACTGTACGTGGTCTGAATTGGACTGTTCAAATGCCAGAGGTTAATCCAGACAGTCTATGGTCTGAAGGGGGCCTACAAAGATGCTGGAGAGGGACTTTTCATCAGGGACTATAGTGATAGGACAAGGGGTGATGGGTTCAAACTAAAACAGGGGAAGTTCAGGTTAAATATAAGGAAGAAGTTCTTTGCTGTAAGGGTGGTGAGATACTGGAACAGGCTGCCCAAAGAAGCGGTAAATGCTTGATCCCTGGCAGTGTTCAAGGCCAGGTTGGGCAGAGCCTTGGGCAACATGGCCTGGCGTGAGACATCCCTGCCCAGGGCAGGGGGTTGGAACTGGATGATCTTAAGGTCCTGTGCAACCCTAGCCATTCTGTGATTCTATGTGAAGGCAGCCGTGGGTGCTCTGTACTGGTGAGGGGCAGCAGGCAGAGCTGCCCAGGAGAACAAAGCATGTGTAGGATCCAGAAAAGGGAAGAACAGTTCAGAGAACTGCACAGAGCCCAAAGGAGATGCTTCCTGATACAGCTCAGCTTCCCATTGCCTGGGCTCCATGCAGGCAAGATGTTTGGAGGGCACTGGGACCAAGCCCACAGGCATTACCTTTTAGGCTTGCTCAGCCACCAAGACGCCTTTCATCCTACCTGTCAGGCACCTGCTCTTAATGGTGGGCTCCTTGGAGCAGAGGTTGTGATTGTGTCTGCATACTGTCTCTGGCACTCACACTGTTACCACCTGCCTTGCCCAGCACATCTCAGCAGTCCCCACTAACCTCTGTGAAGAAGCTCCCAGGCAAGGACATATAGGGAGCAGGGTAAGTGGAGAAAATGGACGCTGTGGCAGTTGGTCCTGTCACTGTGAAGTTCCCCTTGGAGTAGTCGTACAGAGCATCTAAGGAGAAATGGGAGTTAGAGGAGTTAGCAGAATTCATCATGGTACATAGGTGAGTCCACGCACTGCAGCCAGCATGGACACCAAGAGGAATAGAGGCAATGGGAGATACGGTGGAGGTGACACACCCCAAGCAGGGCATGATCTCACTGATATCTGTCACCTGCAGACTTTGGTCTGCAATCGCTTCCTTAAACCTACCGGCTCCATGCCCCTGCGCTGGGAGCCTTAAGTAGGCTGAATGCTCTGGATGCACTGGATGCCTCCATCCCCTGCCTCTTAGAGGATGAGACATGCTGGATCCAGTGAGTGGTGTGTCCCTCACAACTCAAAACCACAGATGTCTGCTGTACTGTTATACACGGACCAGCAGAGTCCCCAGAGCTCCATTTGTGCCTAGTACATGGTAGTTCCATTTAACTTCAGCCCTTGCAGACTCTTGGAAACAAAATGCAGCTCCTGGCCTTGAGCTAAGGACAGGTTTGGGTACTGGGAATACCATGAGCAAAAAAGGAGCTGTGCTCTCCAAGAACTTCTCACCCTTCCCACAGACATCTGTGCTCTGCTCTAGCCTGGAGTTGTGAAGGTCTGTCCCGCATGCCAGGAGCTCACCCTTCTCACTCAGACATCATGTTAGGTACTGCAAAAGGAAGACTAAAATGATGCCCACAGGAAAGCCTGAGATAAAACACACAACCGTACCATAGTAGATGCCAAAGACAGTGGCTGCTGCTGTAAAGGAGCCCAGAAACTGGCCGATCACATAAACTGGGAGCTTTATCCAAGGCAGGTTTCCTAGAATGCAGTGTGTGATGGTGATAGCAGCATTCAGATGAGCTCCTGCAAAGTCACAGCAAAAGAAACTGGCCTCAGCCCTGACGCAGCTGTTTTGGAGCATGTCCCACACCCCACAGCAACCACTCAAATGTTTGATCCAGGACACTGAGACTCTGTCAGGGCAGGGTCCCTCAAAACTGACCTGTTTTCCCTGGGCAACTGAATGATGCAGGACAGAGAGCTATTAGCTTTAGTCTTCTAAAAGCTCTGTAGACCACAGGCTGCTTTCAGAGAGTGGCTCATCTCAGCTCAGAGACACCTCTCTATATAGGTTTCACCCTATTCAGCTTAAGGGGAGCCCAGAACTTAGACTCATCACCCATCTTTTATATGGCTGTAGGTAGATAAGGTAAATCTTATTCCAAACAATTGCAAGAGAGGGCCTCATCCTGGCAAAGCTAAGCACCCCAGCTGATGGGGGCTGCAATGACTCAGGTTAGCTGTTAGATACCACTGCATTGAGAAGAGGGTTTCAAGGGTGGTCAGTCCTGCCCAGACCATGGTTGCTCCCACTAATGTGAAGCAGACCCTGTCCTTCCCTTGCAGAGTTTGTAATCTTCGACTGTATTTCTTTACATTCCTGTTTAGAGAGGCCACTTTCCATGGAGCAGGTTGAATGGTGCTCTCAGTGCAAGCTGCATTTGTTCTCTGGGCCTCATCTCCCCATGAGTCCAAAGGAAATATTTGCTTTTCCTATCTGGTAGGTGTAAACTCTGTGGGTCAATAGATGTTCCAGCCGTAGTGGCCATCTCCAACTCTAGACTCAGAAAGGGGTAACATCCAGACACACAGCACCTCATCAAAGTGCAGGACAGAGTGAAGTAAAAGTACATGTACTGCCACCACTGACATGGGGGGAGGTCCCTTTTTCTGTGATCCTTTGCCTGCATGACCAGCTATTTCAGAGAATCACAAGAAGCATCTTGTGACATAAATGGTACCACATTACAGTGACAGGAAGCCCTGAAGCTGGCTTTGGAACCAGACTTGCTGGCTGATCTGAGACCCTTTCTTCCACCTTCAATCCCTCCATCTCAAGTGTCAGCTGGAACTGCAGGGACCTGCTTTCCTCAGCCCACTTTCCCCAGGATGTCCTCACCTGCTCCAAAACGACAGGAAGACCATGAGCTGACCGCTTGCATGGGCAAATTTTCCCTACCAAGCCCCAGCCTTGGACATCTGTCTGCTCCAACGGTTCAAGAGTAAGGACTTGCTTTAATTTTCTGGCCTCTAGAGCGTTTAGTTTCTTCTCTTGGTGCAAACAAATGCAGAAATTCCACAAGGCAAAGGTAATGCTCTTGTCATGTGAGAGATACCACCCCATGGCCCCGAAACACCACCTCCTGAGCTCTTGCGGGGCGTGTGCCCAGGGATGTGGATGATAAGGAGAAAATTTGCATGCCATTCCTTGTTGCAACATCAGCAGTAAGCTCTCCTTTGCAATAAATTATTTACTTCCCCATGGGTCACACTGCCAGGGTGCTTTCAGACCTCCTTGTCTCCTTGGGCTGTGATGCTATATCCCAATGTGACTAATGGGGGCACTGCTGAAACCAGGCTCTGCTAACTACAGTGGGAGGGAATGGCTGAACATTCACCACTATCCCTGTCCCGCTTGCCCTGGTGTCATCAGCTCAGGACACAGGTCTGGGGTCAGCATTCTGTAGGCGTGCCATGCCTGCCTTGTTCCCTTCTTCTAACCTTGCTTCACCATTGAGGCACCTTGGCTTGAGCTTGGACCTGTCTTCCCCCTGCAGACTTGGCTGTGGTCACTGGGTCATGAGGCTGACCCTGGTTATGGTCACCAGACTTGCTCTGCTGTTCTTGCTTGGGGACCCTAGGACTGCCCTTCCTTCAGGTGAGGGCACTATGTCACCTTGCCATGCCATCACCCACCCCTCCGCATCCCGCTGCTGCTGCCCCTGATGCACGTGGCCTTTATGGAACACAGAGATGTCCCAAGCTTGAGTGTCCTGCTCACCAGAGATTCCTCCCGCTGCATGGATGCCCAAGGTAACACCAATGCCAAATGCCAAATTGATGCTGAAATACTGCCCAAAGTTTTGTCTTCCTAATACCACTTGTGCCACAGCAGACAAGCCAAAGACCTAGAGCATGGAAAAAGAAAGAAAGGAGTGTTAAAAGTACCTTCATTGATGTGGTGGACGGAGCTTCTTTACTACTTTTTATGCAATTTTAATAAACTCAAGACAGGAAGACTCTAAAGTGCCCATTGTCAGGAGATGAAGAATGTGCCTCCCCTGCACAAACTGAAGCAGTAGATGGGTTATTTCTCACTGGTGCCCATCACACTGACACAGGCACTCTAGTCATCATTGGCTATGGGGAGACAAACCCCAAACCCACACATCAAGATCCGGGGCTCAAGAGGGGTCACTCACACAGCCACGGTATTGTGTCTGTGCCTGAAACCAGGTACATGAGCCAGGGGGGCATCACCATTGACCATCAGGAGACAGTGCCCATGATGGGTGGAAGGACAGTGAGCAAATTCTTTTTGTCTTTCTTTCCCTGGTGTGCAATTTGTTCACTAAGAACATGGTTTGGGCAGCACACAGCTATTTGCCAAACCCAACTCTAATTTTGTAACTTACCCCAGCAAAAAAAACAAGGAAGGAAATTTTGTTTTGACTTTTCCTTTCAATGCATACACATTTGGTTTGAAAACAGCCAAAGTGTCAATATTTTTTTAGTGACTAAATGGGAACCAGGAAAAAAAATTAAGAAGCAAAGTAAACACTTTCCAGCAGGAAAAGGCATATTCAAGAAATTGCTCTGGCCTGAAATTAAATTCTATTTCACTTTTCAAATGTGGTCAGAGGGTGGAAAAATCAGTTCTTTGCACAGCTCTTACACTGAAATCTGGGAAGGACAAAGCTCCTCTTGAGGTCTCTGCCTCACAAACCGCTTGGCAATTGAAGAGTGTATCCTGCTTCTTGGACTACACTGCTGTTTATCCAGGGTGGCATGTCCCTCCAAGACAAAAATGTCAACATGTTCTCCAGCATCTGAATTTGTGCTCTGTCCTTTCTGACTGTGATCTTTTCTGTCTACTCTGCCTGGATCCAGAGTTCATCTCATACATCCACTCTCCCTCTTCCCATTCAGACATCACCCCTGTTCCCCAGAGACGCTATTCTTAATTCTCTCGTATACATAGAGCCCACTTTCTGTCAGTCTGCCTCAGCAAAAAACACCAAAAGCCCCAAAAAAGCACTGTTTGGGATCTGCAAAAGCCTTAAAAAAACTCTGCCTACTCATCTCTGACTTTCCAAAGCCACATCCAAGAGAAGCCAAATGCATAATGCATTTGTAGGTTTTGTAGGACAGCATGGAGGTGCAGAGAGAGGGGCTTGGGGCAGGAGACATGGCTGAACACCAATATCCTGAAATAGGTGTATTTCAGCACAGAACCAAGCCTCTGGTGTCTTTCTCTATTCTCACAGTTCCAAAATACTCTGTTTATTTCCCTACCTCCCTACTTCTGCTGCTGTTTACTGCTGCTGCCTGATTCCCTCCTTTGTGATCACTGCCTGCCCATCAAGGTAAAAAGCCTGGGCTAGGCACTGTTCTCCAAATAACACACATCCAGGCATCACAGAGATGCATCCAGTGCATTCCTGGCTGCACTGAAGGCCCTGGGGCTGCTGGATGCTACACCCTGAGTGCTGGATGCTATTTGTTGCCGGCCCATGATAAGGGTCCATATGTAGTGTTCCTCCTCCTACTTTATTCCCTTGCAGGGATCAGTGAAAGAAGAGCCAGTTTGAGCTGCAGGCTACAAAATCTGCCTTTGGCTGTCAGAGTACAGGGGAAGGACTGCTCCTCATTCTTCTTTCTCGAGACAGCTCAAGCAGGACACCTCTGAACTAGTTCCTTATCACCTAGGAACTTCCACCACCAAAGAGCAAAGGGGATAGAAAGGGAAATGGTTTGCTCACTCCTCCTGAGGAGCCACAGACGTCTGTGCTCTGACTTTCAATGTGTGCAAAGTTACCTGTGTAGTAGGGCTGAACTTCAAGGAGCTGGATGCGCAATAATGTGATAAAATGCAAGCATCCTTTGCATGTGCGGTTGTTGCCCATGAAAACAAGCACCTTTATCTGTCAGCAGTGTCAGAAGGTCCCCATCCTCACAGAAACCTTATCTTCCATTTGAGCAAATCTCTGAGTTTTTGGGGCTATCCCCATCTCTTCCTTGCCTGCCTCTGTCCAGTCTTAAGTGTCCCAGCCCAGGCTAAGCCCAGGTATAGTAAGTTAGCACAGACAGCTTCTGAAGCTTTTCAGAGGGAGGATGCTGTCTGTATGTGTTAGTCCAACACATGAAGGCTCTGGTCCTGGTCAGCACTGCACCCCAGCCAGGGGTCAATTCTGTCTGCAAAGCCTTCCTCACCTGCTCCCCAAACACCTCCAAAGCAGGTCAAGAGCTCAAAACCATGTCTTTTCTCTGCATAAAATAGATGAGTTTCTGTATGATATGGATAAACACTATCCATCTCCCAGCATACGAAAACCAAAAGTGAAATCCTAGCGTGCTTTACAGCTGTTAATTACAGCTGTAAAGCATGCTGTAATGGTCGGTTGTGGCTCCAGAGAGTATCACAGGTATTCATTACCTTGGCAGCCCCAAGAGGAAGACAGATGAATGCTGCTCTCATTTCACAGAGGCTGTCAGGAGTTGGGGTCTGCTCTGCAGACCTGTGCAGGACCTCCCAACCACACCATTGCCTATGGCACAGCAGGTAGAAAAGCCTCAATTCACTGCATGGGATCTCTCAGGGGGTTGGCACAAGCATTGTGTTGCCACATCTGACCAGGCTCTGCTCTTTGGTCTCATTCCCAGACTTTCCCTCCTTTTATTCAGAGAACTGTTTTCAGAGAGCTGAAACAATGGAGTGGCCAAAGAAGGGCAACGGAGATGGTGAAGGGTCTGGAGAACAAGTGTGATGGGGAGTGGCTGAGGGACCGGGGGGGGTTTGGTGTGGGGAAGAGAAGGCTCAGGGGGGACCTTGTTGCTCTCTACAACTGCCTGAAAGGAGGATGGACTGAGGTAAGGTTCTTCTCCCAGGTAACAAGTGATAGGATAACAGGAAATGGCCTTGAGCTGTGCCAGGGGAGGTTTGGGCTGGATATTAAGGAAAATTTCTTCACCGAAAGGGTTGTCAAGCATTGGAGCAGGCTGCCCAGGGCAGTGTTGGAATCACCATCCCGTTTAAAAGATGTGCAGATGTGATGATACGGTTTAGTGGTAGACTTGGTGGTGCTGAATTAATAGTTGGGCTCAATGATCTCAAAGGTCTTTTCCAATCTATTTCCAAGCAATTCTATGATTCTATATCCAGTTACTTCACAGACTCCCAGTGACAACCTCCCAGCCTTCACAATGCTTTTTTCCTCCATAAGGTTTAGGCAGATGTCTTCCTGGTGGGAAGCTGCACCCCACCAGAGCAGAAGGGTGAGCGTTAGCAACCAGATGCTGAGCAACCCTGAGGATGTGATAGGACACCACTGACCTTACAGCTGCTGAACGCTTACCCTCTCACCCTCCCTGCACACACACACACATACACATGAATATCTGTGCCCATCCTTTCCTTACCATGAGGATGTACATCCCCAGTGCTTCTGCCAGCATCTCCCTGATGGTGACACTTCGAATCATGAGCGCCTTCTGAATCTTCTCCATCATCTTGCTCTCTGGATCCAGCCTGCAGCCACAGCAGCTCCTGTTGTGACAGTACACTTACTGCTGTGAGCCAAATACCCTTTGAAACTTGGCACCCTCCCTTCACCCCCAGACACCTTCGTTCATTTGGTTAACGATGAACAAGCCAATAAACAAGCAGATAGCTTCAAAGTCTTCCCACACACAAATGCCATCCTTCTAAAACTATATGGTGAGGATGCAGTCCTTCTTCTACCAGGCTTTGCAAACACTGGGCCCCTGCCAGGGAGCAGCCTATCTCCAGGGCAGTGGAGCTGTGAATAGCCTTGGTGTGTTCCTAAAGCCGTCTTTCTCTGTAACCTTTCCCACAGGTACTGAGCAGGAATTTTGGCTCTGCTCTGCACTGTAACCCACTGGCTGGTGGTTTGGTACCATTTTTTGTTGTAACAGGTGAGATTAGGAGTATTTGCTTGTGCTTTGCAGGATATTTGGATGCCCAGCCTTTGGAAAGGATGCTCTCCCTAGAGCTGATGTACACCACTATCCGCAGTTGGGAAGAGCACAATGCCTTGAGTGTTGCTCCAGGTTGAGTATTTACTCTTGCTGAATGTACCTGTGTCCAGTCACACTAGTGCAGAGACTCCCTGCTGCCCACCCCTGTCTGTCCTTTTATCTGGGGCAAGGAAACACCCTTCTCAGCAATTGTCCCAGAGACCTTCAATCACATCTGTCTGCCAGAGTAGAGCCCTCACTGCCCTGATTAATCCTCCGTCTCCTGATTCCCTCTGCTTATCTCCCTGCTCACCACGTGCTCTTACCCCTCCACTGTGAAGAGGTTTTAATACCTTTGCTTAATCACTGAAAAGTTAAACCCATGAACACTCAAGACCCCTTCCTGTGTGCCTTGTCTGGTTCCTTGCTGCTTTTATTCACCTTCCTCTCAAAGCACTGCAGGTTCTCAGTGTGGCCCTGGAAAGAACACAATGCACAGCTCTGGAGGAGTTACAAGCAGCTTCCCTATGGGAATGCAGTGCTCTGCTCCTGCTGCCCCTGGGGTTGTCTCCATCTGCATTAACACATTGCAAATGTTCATGAGCTTTTCTTCCCCCCACAGGACACTGAGCAGATGTATGGAAGAACCTAGGAAGCCGATTTGCCTCTCTGCCCCGTAGAGTCATACAATCATAGAATGGTTTGGGTTGCAAAGGACCTTAAGATTATCCAGTTCCAACCCTCCTGCCATGGGCAGGGACACCTTACACTAAACCATGTACCCAAGGCTCTGTCCAGCCTGGCCGTGAACACCGCCAGGGATGGAGCATTCACAACTTCCCTGGGCAACCCATTCCAGTGCTTCACCACCCTTACAGTAAAGAATTTCCTCCTTATATCCAATCTAAACTTCCCCTGTTTAAGTTTTAACCCATTACCCCTTGTCCTATTGCTGTAGTCCCTGATGAAGAGCCCCTCTCCAGCATCCTTGTAGGCCCCCTTCAGATAGATAACTGTCTTATTTTATGGCAGGGGAGGGTTTTATGGATTGGGGTAAGCCCTCTTCAAGTGACAGATCCGCTATAACCTTAATGAACACTAGGCTAAACATGCAGTAATTCAGTCTGTCTCCTCCCAAAGGTCCATTTAATCATGATGGGTGATAATCTCACCCTCTAAAGGGTGTTCCTACAGCATGTTTCTAGGTGGGAAGGCTTTTCTGTGCTGTGAATCTGTGAGCATGCTGTGGCACAGAAAAAGTGGCTAATTAATCTTTCCAGGTCTTTTCTTTCTCTGCCATAGTAATGTTTATTGGTTGGTTATTACAGAAACATGGTCCCTGGAGAACCAGACTGGGGTGTTGACAAGAGTCTCAAGTTTCTTCTGCATGTGGTAATTTCCAGCTGACATGTAAAGGTCAGGTCCTGGCATCGGCTTGTATTGGTGCTCCCACAGCCTTCCTCACATAGATGAGGTGTGAGTGGGTCGATATTGCCCACAGCTGGACCTACAACTTTGTTTCTCACTCCTAGATCTCAGGGAGCCTTACAAGTTGATTCCTCCCCTGTGGGCACACAAGCTGCTGTGTTTCTAAAAGGTTTTGTCCCCTGCATTCAAACATTAACTATAGGCATCTCCATATTCTCATTTGGGTTGAAAAATGGAAACAGGTTCTTTCTGGGAACACCAAGCTCTCATGGACTTGCCGTTTTCTCAGGGAAAAAGGCAATCCCAGTTTGCAATAGAAACCTTTGGTTTGCTGATGGTATTTGCAGCATAATCCCCAATATTACCACTAATTTCCCTAAAACTCCACCATGCTTCTAGGATGGCATAATGGATACGTCTCTTGCCACTGCTTGTTCTTTTACACAGATCATTCCACAAGGTGGCACTGAGACACTGATTTCTCTCTTAAAAGTGTTCAGAATAGTTCCTCTGTTGGCTGCTGAAAGTGTGAGTACACACACTAGTTTTATGGTTCCTCTGGGCATTTTTAGACATCAAAGTGATCTGCCACTGTTCAAGACGTTTAACAACAGCAACACCTTTGTTTCTATAGGTCCTGTAGGGCAGCACACCTCCGGCCTGGCAGCACACACAACAGAAGTGTTTAAGCCTGCGCCTCTCACCCTCCTCTTTATAACTAGCAGAGAAAACTGCTCATTGTAAAGTGGAGCAGCTCCAAAGGGCAGTTCACCCCACCTGAAATAAGCATCTGAGGCCAGACCTGTGAGTCATGCTGGATGCTGGCACTTTCCCTGCAGTGTCTGCAATGGGGTTGGAGCTCCAGAGTGCACACCCATGTGGAGGTATCTCTGCTGGGCGAGCTGGACTTCCCATCCTCCCTGCATCCAGCAGCAGTGATCCTTGAGCAAGGATCAAGATCCTGAGCACAACCAACCATGTGAGCCAGCCAAGGGCTGAAGCACGGATCTGACAGTTGCTCAACATGACATGTTTGTACCTGCATGGTTTCACTTACCTGCAGGGCTGACCAGGATCTCTGGGTCACCAAATACAGTCCCCTATTAACATGGGCAGCCACACCACACCTTCCCTTTCATGCCTCCATTCTAGGGATAAGTGATTTTTATCTTAATTCCTCCTGCTGAAAACCTGTTACCAGAACTTACTGCTCTCAAAATTAGAGACTTTCTTCTAATTTTCAGCAGAATTCTCAAAGCCAGTGTTAGCCAATCACAGTCATGAGGTAATATTTCCTCTACAGGTGCTATCCCATTAAGTTTTCCTATGAGGTTTGTTAGAAGAGCACGAGTTGCTCGTGCTTAGCTCGCACCACCTCCTGATGTTTACCTAGACTTGCTCACAGATTGAAACTTCACTCAACATTGACCCTGCAATTATTTCCCCATGTTTTCCGCTGCACATTAAGCAATCACCTGCTAAACCAAAGCCATTTTCCTCCCTAAGGCAGGTGTGCCTGCAGCACCAGTAATAAATGCCTCTGGTTGGAGAATATTTTGGCACAGTCAAGGCCCACTAGCTGCGCTGGTGTTGATACCCATGGTAGTGAAGAGCTGGGGTAACAACCCTGCAAAGAATGAGCACCCAGGGACTTCAGGGCAGTCATGCTTCTGCAAGGAATAGCTTCTCTGACTCAACTGACTGCACACTTTTCGTCTGCACCCACAACCTCATTTATCTCTTAATTGTGCTAATCAACAGCTGGAACATCACCACTCCGTTAGCTTCAGCCCTGCTGGTGGATCATTAACTTCTTCCCAGAGTCTGAGAGGAGCATGAGCCGACAGCACAGCAAAGGACCTCCTCAGCATGGATGAGGACAGCTTGCTCCTCCATCAGGCCAAATGAATGTTTCCCCTTTAGGAAACAAGGCCAGGTCAGAGAGACCAAAACAGTGCTATGACCCTAGCTGTCCAAAACAGGCTCCACTCGACATACCCTGGAGCACCTGCACATTATGGTCTCACATTTAACGCTCATAGTCTATCTCCTTCTTTCCTGTGGATGGCAGGTACTGAGTGAGTCACAGACACCCCACATGGCTTTGCTCCCCATACTGTTACCCAGCTCCCCATTCCCAGCACACCACCTCCCACCAAGCACACCGTCACCCCTTGCCCTGAAGCCGGCCCAAGGTGCATTACCTGTACGTGTTCTTTTCCAGTGAATCCGGGGTAGCTTTCTCCGTGCCAGACGGAAGCAGGAACTGGTGGGACCAGCGAAGGGATGTGTAAGCAGTGATGGCAGGATCCTACTCCCGTTTGGAGCCCTCTGCTTTCCTTCCCTGTGTAATGGTGCCTCTCCCTGCCCTCCAAGACCGCTAAAGCTCACTCAGCTCAGGTAATCTGCAAGGTGATGGTGTCAGCAGGAGGGGGATTACATGGCTTTGATTGGTCATTATGGGGAGAGAAGAGCTGCCCAAGAAGGGGTCCCCACTGGGCAGCTCTGGCCCCATCGTTGGGTAACACAGCCTGGGCTCCCTGGCTGGGACCCACCCTCCTCCCCAGCCCTCATCTGCTTACCAAGCAGAATTGGGTCTGTTTTATGTGACAGGTTTTGAGGCACCCCAAAAGCTTTGGCGTGGGCAAAGCCCTGAGGAGTCTCCCCTGTGCATGGATACAGAGCACGTAACAGAGAAACAGAGGCACAGGAGCGCTTCAGGTCCCAAAGGAAACTTGGGGCACCTGTGAGGTTTCCACTAAGGTGCTGCCAGCTCCTCACCTGCTGTCAGACCCCATTGCCTATCCTGTGAACATCTTGTTCTCCTGACATTCTCCTACCATAGCCCTGTATGTAGGAGCATCCCCTTTGTCCATCCTGGTGGGCTCCCCCAGACCCTGATAGAGAGCAGCAGGCTCTGTGGGTGTAAGTACTCCCACCAAGCTTTGAGATGCCTTCTTAGGTCTGCTTTCAATCCACAGATAAGGCAAATCCAGGGAACCCACAGGGCTCACAGGACATCCTCACCCTGGAGATAAGGGGAGCCAGCCAGGCTTTCTCTTGGAGGAGTGTGAGCACCCATGCTCTGAAAGGAGATTAAAGGGGAAAAGCTGCAGGCTGGGTAGGAGACACTGCATGAGCTGGGTGAGGCCCTTACTTTGCAGATCGTGGTAGAGCCACTATGCTGATCTGCATGTTTCCCTGCCTCTGACTGTACCCCAGAGACAGCACAGCATGGCTATGTCCTCCCTTCAGAATGCAATGAATCAGCTCTTACTAAATGGGGCCACTCAAAAAACCTCTTTTACTTCATCTCATGATGTCTCCTCTGCCTCATCCCTCCCCAGGGCACTCCAGACAAAGACCCAGTCTCTTTAAGGAACCCCAAAAAGGTACAAGCTGTGTTAACTGGTCCGAAGAGCAAAACCAGGGCAGGGGCTGATGACAGGAACATAGCCATCCCTGTTTCCTCTGCACTGCTGGAGTGAGGCTGAGACAATGGTCAACACAGTCCTTTCACAGCCAGGAGCTGTGTAAGGGTGGGCTGCATCCATACATGCCACTTGCCTGTGAACCCTTCAAGAGGTGATGCTGAACCCATAGGCAGACCACCTTCACTGATAGCTCTGACACAGGTATTTTGTGGAGTGAGGAACCAGCTGGTGACACTAATCACTGCCCATATATATAATCAGTTCCAGTCACTCAGCCGTGTTCTCCCATACCATACCTGCCATGGGGTAGGACCAAAGACCAGCAGTGAACGGTGAGCAATGCCTGCCGCATGGGATTAGTCATTGCTAACAGGGTGGAGAAAGACCAGGATGCAGGCAGTGGGGTTGTCTTTCTCAGGGACAGCCCGCTTTAGCCCAGAGGGCTGCTGCTGGTGTGGACGTGAAGGCATCCAAAGGAAACCCTTGATAAGCTCCCACTGTCATGGCAGGGAGGAGATGCCACAGATTCCTTGCAGATACCTGCACAGATCTCCCCGGACACTGCCCAGGAGCTCCACAGGCATTTGAGTGGGGGCGGAGGTTTGCTCCAGCATCTGCCAGACTCCATCACCCTCATCCTTCCTCCCCCAGCCCCTTTGGCCTCTTGTGCTGTTTCAGGAAAGAGGGGCTGGGTTTATCTCGTGGCTTCCTGGTCATTCCCATCCTGTCAGCTCCTGTGTGAAAAGTCATTGACACAGAGAGACCCACAGAAGCTGAAAACCCATCTGTTGGTGTCACCTGGACAAGAGTCCATTTCCATTGCTCACGTAGTTTCCTAGCACAAGTCCTGCATGACAGAAGTGAACGTCATTTGTGAAGATGACATTCAAATGGGCCCATGTTAAGCAGAGCACCAACATGCATCCATTTCCCTAAGCACAGGGCAGCACATATCAATCATTATCTGCAGTGCAGATGTTTCTAACCCATGGCAAATACTAAATATCATCACTGGTGTTTATTGGCCACACACACATCCATATCAGCCACTTCCTAGTGAAGAAGTAACTGTTGTAACCCACCTCCTCAATTTTGACTTCACAGAAACATCGTTGGGGTCAAAATATCAGTTTATAATCTCATGAGACTGGCAGAAGGTCTGTTACTCCTGATGTGAACCAGTTAGAGCTCTCCAGAGCCACCTCAGGATCTGTTTGCACAGGACCTGAGGAAATGGGCCTCTGGTCACAACACAGTCTCCACTCTCTTGCCACAAAATCAACATATACACAAAACACAGCAGGTCTGTGAAGATACAGACACTGATTTGTGCACCTGAAATGTTCATTCATACGTCAAACTGCAGCATTACGCAAATCAAGTGCCTGGCTGGAACTCCCCCTTACAGGAACAGCCATTCCAATTCATGGAGTCTACTTGGAAATACGTTGTTTTGACATGGCTTTCACTGCTCACCCTCACGATAAGCTCAAATTGCTTTTCATTCTTCATGCTAGGGTATGTAGACGTTTTTGACACAAGATGCTGTGGGTGCTAAAAACGGTTCTAAAAATAGTTAGACAAATTCATGAAGGCAAAAATCCACCAATAGCTATTAAACATGGACACCCTTCTCTCACAAATGACCCCTGGGCTGTGACTTGTTGGAGCTTGTAGAGTAGAATCATAGATTCACAGAATGGCTAGGGTTAGAAGGGACCTTGAAGATCATATAGTTTCAACCCCCAATATTCCAATTGTTCTCTTCAGACCAAATAGTTCTGTTCCAAATCCCTAATTTGTTTTGTTCACACACTAGTCTCCCATCAGACCTAGGACCTCCTCCATGGGTCCAAGTCCATGGGTCCTCCATGGGCCTCTCAATGGCCACTGTGATGTCCAGTGGATGTCCATCCCTTCAGCCACAGGAACAGAAGACTTGCATGTTCTTGCACTGCTCCATTGTCCTGAGATGACATGACAATACTCAAAACATATTACCAGCTCTACTGCTCACCATTGTGAGTCCCAAGCACCCATTCCTCCTCCCTGCACAGTTCCCCATCCCCAGGGGGTGATAAAGACACCTTGTTCAGCAGCAGCTTGGGGTGGGCAGAGGAGACATTTGCAACTGCTCGGTGTGCTGTGCGATCTTTGCTAAAACTCCTGCCCCTGCTTAGTGCTGGAGGCTCCTGGGCCATGCTGAGTTATCCACCTCCTTACTGCTCTCTCCTCCTCTGTGCAATGCAGGTAGTGACCTTTTCCAGTCCCAGAACAGCCAAGGGCTTCCACTTCACCACTGGTGGGGCCAGCAGTCAGAAGAGCAGGTAGGGGCATCCTTCACACACACAGCAGGTCAAGCCAGAAGAACCTCACTGTGGTGCGTGCAGCTGTGCCACAATTCAATGGCATTTTAGATAGAATAAAAGCTTTAAAAGAAGGAGACATGTTGCACTGTGGTAGAGCCTTCCTTCTCCTTCCCCCCAGGAGCTGGAGGCAGCCATACCATATGCATCATTTAAAAGCAGACTAGAAACAAAAGGCACTTAAACACTCGCCATGAGGAAGAGTCAGGCCCTGCTTTAGGACAGTAAATAATTGACTTTGTCTTGTTCATCTCATATTGTATCGCCTCTGCTGCTAGTGATTCACTGGAGAAAGAGAGATAGTGAAGCCTGCCCCCTCCCCAGCGCAGGCACCATCTCCCCTCTGGTGCTTTCTGTTCTGCACAGCACCATGAGACAGCAGCTTTGGGTATGGCACCAACACACACAGTCACACATCTCTATCAGCAAGGGCCTGGGGGAGAAAAAGCAGTGCCAGAGCCATGGGAGCACTGCAGGACCCCCAACAGGCACCCTCCTCTGTGCTCAGGGTGAGGGCTCGCACCTTCCTCCTGGTTAGCCTTCCTCCTGGTGCATGTGGGAGCTGTGGTCTGTGGAAAGGGAGCCTCGGAGCAGGGTCTCACTCCCTTGCACATGCTGTGGGATTTACCATGTCCCATCCAACCACCCATTCCCTTATGCTGGTGGTGTCTCTAAATTCAGGACATGAACAAAATCCTCTGAACTTTCAAGATCTCTTTTAAGCCCGCATCAGCAACCACCTTAGAAGCAGCAAAGGGGAAATCTTATGTGACACGAATCATAGTGATTTTGAGGAATACAGCACGTCTGTTGTATGTCATTACAGGGTGCTATAGGGGAAGAGAGATACCCAGCTTCATAACAATCTTCTTGGACTGCAGAGCATCTGTTTCTTCAGGAGCTTTAGTTCTGCTTATTTGTTATTTCTGCAATACAATTACCCCATGTGTTTTTGGACTCTGATTTGTTTGGAAGCACTGCCAAAATAATCCATTACAAATGCCTTGTACAAGTAGGCAACAGCCTGATGGAATACATTCTGCCCTGATGGGCATGTGCACAGAGCAAGATAAGAGCCAGCAGTGACAAAAACATGTTTTGCTCTAGACTGTTGGCACTGAGGAAAAAAAACATGCCCATAATTTGCATTTGTTGCTAACAAGATAACAAGATTGATCAACACAGAGAAAGCGAGGTTTGTAAATCATAACCACCTAAGGTCTCAACAGGCTGACCTTAATCTGTAACCCAGGATCCAAGTATTCTGTCTATATGTCCGTACTAGCTAACTCTGTACCCATCTATCTCTTTAAATGAGGATATATCCTTTGGTGAAAGCAGTTCTGCTGCCCGTGAATTCTCCCTGCCTGCTGACAACCCACAAACCGGAAGAAAACTGCAAATCCCATGGAAGAGTCCTACACTGTCAGCTTGTGATTGACTTCCATAGCCACAAATACGTAATGAAAATGGTTCACTCGTGCCCAGCATCCCAGCCAACCAGCTCTGTCTAAAACCAGTGCATCCCTCCCCAGATGCTGTCACCACTTGCTGTAGCTCTCAGTTTTAATCACAGGTTTCCCTTTCAAGCGTTGACCCGTTCTGCCGGATCAGTCCTGCTCAGCTTTCAGCACCTGATAGGATCATAAGACAAGGCAAACGTA